TCTTGAGAAATTAAATGTTAAATATATAACTTTTTTGAAATTGAATAATACAATTGTATTTGACTGATTTAGTACACATTAAATTTTGTATTTTGTCATTTAAAATGACATTTGTTAAATTTTCATTTTCAAAAAGTTCTTTCGCCTATTCTCTTAATAAATAAAATATAAAATAATTAATACTTTTTAAAAATTATTTTTGACAAGGAACTATTTTTAGGTAAATAAATTTTATTATTATGTGCTAAATATTTAAGTCTCGAGATAGGGCTATTTATTTCGAGAGTCAAGAATTTGAATCAATTGAAAAAAAAAAGGTATGCTTTTTTTAGTAAAAGTACGTGTCTGTTTTTCTAATTTAAAGTATTTTGATTCTTAGTATATAAAAATTCAAACTTTCGATCATAAGTTATTCAAAGTGTTTGCTTTTTTGCACATTGTAGTTATACACAAACAGAAGTTATTTTTTTCATATTAATTGAAAAGTTTTCAATTGATTATGTTATTTTAATTTTTTTGTTTTAATTAGACTAAATATTTTCTTTTAAAAAAATTTTGATTTTATATTTTGAATTAACACTTGACTTAATAGTAGATATATTTTTAATTGTTAGAGAGGGGCACCAAAATATTTTCAGTGCTTAGGGCCTCAAGAGGTCTTAATCCTGTGCAGACACTAAAAGGTGGAATGATACCCAATAGTCTATGGGTGTTTTACATGTACAATCACTGTGTTCTTTACTCCCGTGTTTTTCGAAGGGAAACTTGTCATATGACTCCTCCCTGTATATTGTTCGACCGTGATGTGCTTTTACGTCATTTTGATAGCATACTAAAAGAAAAGTCACAATTTTATAGCTTTAATAGAGATGGTATTTATTTAAAAAATAAGTAAAAATATAAAGCAATATTAGAATAATTCTTCTTTCTTTCCTCTTCACCTCAATCACACCTATAGAATAAAAAAAATTACAAAAGTTAAATTACTAATGTTTTATGTAGAAAGAGGCATGTTTAGGATAGAATACATTTAGAAAAAGAACTGCACTATTAATACACATTATACATTTCAAAATCAATCCCCTCACCCCCCAAAAAAACATTGATTTTAGCTAGTAAAAGGAAAAAATGAAGTTATTTACGAACCTTTATTTTCTCTTCAAGTTTTTGTGCATCAAAATATCATTGGCCATCTTTTCCATCCACATACCCTTCCTCCCATTGGACTGCAACGCAGAAGCTTTTTCAAAACACCTCCTGGCCAAGCTACAAATAAAGTATTTACACACACAATTGATAACAATAAATATATTTTTCAAATGCATCTGCAATACATGCGCCAAGGAGTCAAATAAAATAAGTGACACTATCAAGATAATTTTATTGCAACTGTTTGTATACATGTTTGCCTATCATTTAAAGATGAACATATCAACTCAAGTGGTTATATAGAGTTCTAGTTAACGTATAAAAACATGCTCTAGTTCTTATAATCATTTGAATACATGCTTGCCATTTGAATACAGGATTCAGCGTGAAGTTTCACAGATTATGCTCTGACCGATACAGCACTCAGGAGTAAACTTTTAGTGTATCAGTCAGGTAGTTTATATGTTTGTAGTTTCTTTGCACAGGTCAAAAAAAATTATTATTTTTAATTTATTTAAAACTACTTTATTACAAATGTAGTTAACATCAACCACAACTATTTCTTTTAATGTAGTGATAAATTACTTCAGAAATGTAGATACTACTTAATGAAGGTTAAGTGTTTAAAGCTCTTAAATTACTTCTTGAAGCTTGTACATCAAGATTTGCAGAGCAAAGTACTTTTCTTTCTGTTGAAATAACATGCACACATTCTTTTAATTTTGATCATAATGTACAGTTGTACTAGCCATATTTCATATTGGCTACGGGGTACATTCTCGATGTTTTCACTAATGAATTTAAGGGTGTTTTTTTAAAATTCTTTTGCAAAAGAAATAGCCACAGATTAAGTTATGTTAAACTCAAAAACTTAAGTTAAAATTTTAAACTATACACTATTCTATCTCGCTGCAAAAAATTATTTACATTAAAAATTATATCTAATATTATACATTTTTAAAAAAACTGTGGCTTTTCTTCCTTTTGCCATTTTGCATCATTTTCAGAATTATCATAGAGAGTAGTGGAAAAAAAAGCAAAACATAATCTAACAATCATGAATAACTTCCCATTTTCTAAACTATTTTTTTCCCTTCCATTTCATAATATAACATAAGCAATTTGAGTTCAAGAAGAAATAAAATACCTGGTGTTTCCAGATTCCAATGCAAAGAGGCCCTGTAAGAAACGTGCTGCCTGGTTAGAGGGTACTGCGTGGACGGCTTTTCCAGACACTTCTACACCTAGATGGAGCCACTTTTCTCTTTCTTCAGGGAGTTGTGCAACCTGAAATATAAGAGCACCAAAAGATTGAGAAACACCTTTCCTGACATTTCTGAACTGAAATTTTATTTAGCAATAATGCAATTTTTTTCCCTTTAAACTTATTTGATTTTAAAAGATTTAAAGTTTGAATAATGCATAGTGGTGGAAATTTTCAGAGGGATTTAGGAAAAATTTCACAGGTACTCTTTGATAAGTCTAGGTATAAATATTAAAATTATGTAGCAATTTTAGAATAAAATAATGTTAAAAACTTAAAAGAAAAAATAAAACTTTTCCAGTTTTGCACAAAAAAGTAAGAAATAAAATACTGGGTGTAACTTATAAGAGACAAGTTGATATTGTATCAATTAATTTTCCAGACATAATGCTCATTTTAAATGAAGCTTATCTTAAATTGAGTTGCAAGAATTTCGTTTAAAATTTTTAAAGAAAGCATATGAAACGTCCAATTTTGAATAACAATAACATCAAATAAACCATTGACTTTTCTACTGCTTTCTTTAAAAAAAGAGAAGTATATAAGAAATTCTTGCAACACATTTTACCATAAATTTTATATTAAATGAAGATATTATCTGGAAAATTAACTGATACTATATGCTCTTTTTATTGTGTAACCTAATACGCCATATACTGCTCCACTGCAGAGTCTGGCCATGTAATTTTGTTAAGAGGAAAAATCGTTATGAAATAGAGAAAAATACCAAAACCAGCATCGAATCGATCCAAGGATTATTGGATAGGGAATCCCATATAGCAGTTTATATACATCTTATTCATTATTCATGCCTTGATGTTGATTGTCTTGCAGTATGAAAACAATTAGGACAACTTCTGTTTGAAAGTTCATTACAGCAAGTTTACTTTCCTCCCTTTCGGTGTTCTAATTTTAACAGAGAACTACAATAGCAAAAATTTTGAAAAGCTCAGAAATGAACATACTTGTAAAGCTCTGTAAGATAGGATGGCAAGTTGCAACAAAGGATAGGCAGTCCACTTAGGAAACCTGAAAAAGCGTGCACAATTTAAATACCACAAATTCTAGTAACTAGAATTTGTAACAAGTTCCAGTTCTAGTAACTGTAATAGAGTCAAGGATTAAACAATAATAAAGGATTTTTACATTTTTTCACAGGATACAATAAAATGTGAGAGCATTTTCTCAGCTTCAACATCATTTCCCGAATCGAGCAACAACTGGCTGAGTACCTGCAATATAATAATTATTAAAACTATGCAAAAAGTAAATATATACATGACAGGAATAAGTTACGAAAGCGTTTTCTCACACTCCAGCCAAAAAAGGATTTTGGATTATTTTTGATGGCTAAAAAGAGAGGTTGCAGGTTTCCACTTGAAGATGAAAATACTTTTATCACAGCATCGAGAATTTGCAGACACGACGTGATTTCGGAATTGAAAGATTTTATTGGAAGAACCTTTAAAAGACAGAAAACATATAATTTAAATGAATAAATTAATCTGAAATATTTGCAAACAAACCATAAATGTGCTATGCAAAATATTATATTTAATGTTGAGACAAGTCTTACAATTAGGCAGGCTTTAAAAAGTAACACTGTTCAGTTCAACCTTCTCAGCGACTAGCATATTAAAAATAATTAAGGAGAAAGAGGAATCAAATTGTTATACTTTGATTTCAGTCATCAGTTTCAACAAAAATTAATTTAGCTTTGTTATTGGAAACTTGTGTTGTTATTGGAACTATTGAGGTCCAGTGTTTGGTGCAATTAGCAGATCATTATAAATTTCTTGTTAATATTTTCTTTTAGTACAGTTAAGGTTTTATAAAAACTCTGCAGAAAACTCGTTTTTTTATAACCGTCGATGAACAGCCAACCCAATATATTGGGTTTACGACTGAGCGAATGCTCAATTCTGTAGCCTTGCAATTTTGAATCCAATTCAGAAGAAAAGGGAACTCCTGGATTAAATATTGGGATAAATTTTGCCTTCGTGGAGGACTTTTTGATGGTACTAACCTGTATTTGAGTTACATGGGGCAGAAAACAGCCAAAGCCTTCCACGGTTACTACCCTGATGTTAAGGGGACTCTAACCAATGATCTGTCTGCCACTGAGGATATTTCACATCAGCACTGTGGTTGGTGCAAGCCGAATGCAGAATTTGTATTGATCAGCCATTGCTGGGATTCGAACCCGGTTCACATCATTGGAAGGTGAATGCTCTATCCCCTGCGCCATTATGGCTCTCTGAACTCTTTGTAGTTAAGGGACAAAAAACCTTAGCAAAATGATTATAACAAATATTCCTTAAAACCTCAATTTTTATTACTCAACTGTAAGAAGTTACTCAATTGTTAAGTTACTCTGTTTTATCAGTCAACGGCAGATGTTACTGTTTTATTACTCAATCGTATCAACCGCACCTTGATGACTAAATCATAATAATTATGGAGAAATCAGATTAGTTGGCACCTCTGATTCCATTCTAAAAATGTGTTGTAGTGACCGGATCAATATACGCTTTTTAAACAATTCTGTAACACTATTAAAAGTTTCATTTTAATCACTTTGTGAATCTGAATGAATGAAATAATCACCTGACTCATTAAGGTACTGGCAGCTGATAAGTCTCCACAATTAATATGATGGAATATCTCCATTACAACAAGCCATCCCAAAAAATCTGGCTTCACCTTCTGCTCTTTTGCTAGAAAAAAAGTAAGAAATCTTACCTAAGGGTGCCCATTTTTTATATGGTCTCATAAAAATCAGTCAGAGAATATTGGTGGAAGATTATTTCATGACCTATGGATATTTATTAAACAAAATTCCCTACATTTTTTTTCTTAAATTCAATTTTAAAGGGTTCGAGCACACATAAGCCATAGTTAATCGTGAATCACTACCAGTTCTTTTACCTATCGCAACTTGCATGTTTAATCACAAAAGTATTGTTTTTAAAAAGGTTTTCAATTTGTTCTAAGAAAAAATAAATCCACACACATAATTTTAGAATCCTATCATTTATTTTTACTTTATTTTTAATGCCAGTTCTTGCTTTAATGAGCTGGTCTCATTTTCCTGAGGAGCTACAGTAGCTCCAAGTACTGACTCTTAGAAATCGCCAACTCCGAAGACATCTACATCTGTTCACTAATTTCTAACTTTAGTTACATAACATCATTCAAGTGGCAACCTTAAAAGAAGAAGGAAGATTACTATCATCAAAATTTTTTTTCCGGCAAAGGTATAACTCGGTAATTTCTTTTTAATGAAGCTTTTACATATTCAATTTGTGTTTATTTAATGTTTACTTGCTGTTTTTCTTTTAAATATTTTTAAGTAAATATTTGTAATAGTAATTTCAGGGTTGCCACAGTGAAAAATGAACAAAAATAGTTGCTTCTAGTAGCCTCAAGTATGAAAATAGTTGCCTGAACAGGAACAAAAATTTATCAAAAATAGTAGCTAAATAACTAAAATTATAGCTTAATTATCAAATACTATTATTAGGACTGGGTGATGCTAGAAATTTTAAATCGTGATACATCGTCAGTTATACATCACGATATAGTGATGTATAGCAATTTAGCATATGTTCAAAAATTATCTATGGGAAATCTTTAAATCAATCAAAAATAAATCAAGAGGAATAAATCTAGTACAAAAGAAAATGTTAATTCTAAACAAATTCTACTATGACATCAATATCATTGCTTAATTTTTTCAATTAAATCAATAAAGAAGTCAAAGTAAAAGCAAACCCAAGCTTTATTTCATTTTTCTCAAATTAAAAATGATTTAAGATTTATTGGTTTTAAAATAATAATACTGTAACAAATTATTTTACATACATGCATTAAAAATTAAAAGAAGAAAAAAAACAAAAGAGGAAAACAAACCAAAGAAATGTTCACTTTAAAAAATTTTTTTTTCTTAATTGTTTGCAGAAAAAAAACATGCTTTTGAAACATCATTAGACCCTTTTTTATTTACTTATTTAAAATAATAAAAAGTAGTATTAACTAATGGTCAAATTTTGTATTTAATAAATGTAAAAATATTTTTACTTATTTATTATTATTTTCATTTTTGAAAATAAAATCACTAAAGATTTATTTGTTTATAAATGATACTGACTATCAAACAAATTATAAAACAAACAAGTATTGAAAGAATTTTAATAACAATTTTAAAAAAATACTTTAAGTACTAATGGTAAATTATTAAAAATGTCAAAACATTACTAAACTTTTTATTAAATTAAAAAAAAAAAATTGCTTTAACTAAGTAGCCAAATTTTTTTAAAACTTTGTTTTCATTTTCTCAAAAATAAAAGCAAATTAAATAGAGGTAAGCTTTGTTTTAATTTTTTTATAATAAAAATCGACAGAGCATTTATTGGTTGAAAAACAATAAAATTATTATACTTAACTACATTTAATAAATTTAAAAAAACTAACTTTTTATAACAAAGTTAAATACAAAATACCCCTACTAAATTGTATTACTTAAAAAAGAAAACAATAATTGAAAAAAATCAATGATTTGATCTATTGAGTTCAGAATGAAAATTTAAGATAACAGTGATTGCGCAGCAATCGCAAAGTAACAGTAGGTCTAATAAAAATAATTGACAAGAATCGTTAAACCCAGACAGAAAAAAAATGGTATGAAATATTATTAGAACGAAACGACCGCTGAAAAAGTCCTTCTGAAAATAATTTACAAGAAACCCGAAAATTATTTTTGACGAAACAAAATGCACAACGATCGCAAAATGACTTAAGTCCCATTGAAAATAATCTTCAAAAAACACAAAATCCCAAAGACAAAAATGGACATAAAGAAACTATGCATTGCGTTCTATATTACAACGCTGATCCTCGCACGAAACCGGGAGTTCTGATTCAATTCGCTCTTCGTCATTCAACATCACAAAACTAACATCATCTTAATAGCAAAACGCTATCTTCATCTCTGCAGATAGACGAAATCAAAATCGTCTTCGTTAGTGAGGTAACAGCGTTAGCCTAGTCAAGGATCCTTGCATATTAAATTGTTAAACCGCGATTGTAATCTAATTCCGGCGGCTTAAATCAGAGTTCTGATGCATCGCCTAAAACGAAAGTTACTACATCAGCTTACTGATATATGCGTTAATTCGATATTTCACGATACATCGATTTATCGCCCAGTCCTAGCTATGCTCTAATTAATAAAAAGTTTGGTACAAATATAAAAGGCATACATATTAGAAAATAGGTACCTAAATAAAAGTCAAATTACAATAAAATAAGAATGTTAATAGAAGGAAAAAACAATTAAAAATAACAAAACTGCCCCTCAGTGAGAACATATAACAAGTACTTTATTAAATCCAATGGAAATTTAAATTTTTGGCTCTTTGGACATAAATGATTGTATAAAAGTTTGCTTTCTTTTATTAACGTTCTGAAAAGTAACGTTCATTTTTGCGAAAAAACTTTGCCAAGAGTAAAAAAAAATCTCCTAATAGCCACCTATTCCTGAAAATAGTTGCTTTTTTTTGCCTTTAAAGTTTGCTTTCTTTTTTTAACGTTCTGAAAAGTAACGTTCATTTTTGCGAAAAAACTTCGCCAAGAGTAAAAAAAAATCTAATAGTTTCCTATTCCTGAAAATAGTTGCTTTTTTAGCCTTTTCAGGCAAAAAAAGTCGCCACAGTCGCCTAAGGCCGAAAATAGTAGCAAATAGTTGCATTTTAGTAGCGTGTGGCAACCCTGTAATTTCAGATTACAGTTACAAATATTTATTTTGTTAGAATTATTTCCATCTTTTTTTTACTAATTATGTACATTAAAAGAATTTTTTAGTGATTTCAAATTTTACAATTATTATTTTTTTTAAATAAACATCTTTTATTAAAAAATTCCCCTGAAAACACTCATTTTCTCATAATTTTCAGTTTAAAATATAAAAAAAGCTTTTAAGTTGTTAATCAATTTTTAGTTCACTTTTTTTTGAAGAAAATTTATTCACAAATATCGTTTTTAAGTTTACCTTTAATTATTTTTCAAAAGCTTAAATTTTTAAGGAAACTTAAAGGAAACACCCTGCCTTTTTTTTCATAGGGAAAACTCTGAATTATACCCATTTAGTTTTAGGTTTTAACCATTATTAAATCAAACTCTGATGAAAGTACTGGGACTATATAACCTAGATGAACTATAGGGTAAAAACTCCATATCAATAAAAAAAGTAACACCTAGGATGGTACAGTGGTCAATGTAGCCTAAGGTGAAAGAGTAAATGAAACAAAATACATACCTAATTTTTTTACAAAACCAAACATCCAACCTACATGTTTTCGATCCAAGTCCGCAACATGACAGGCAGCTGCTAGTGTAGCCCAATTGGTCAACTTCCCTAAAATTTATCAGTTTTTGTGTCAAACAAATGCACAAAAAATATCAAAACTGCAAGGTAATATTTTTTACGTAATGAAATATTTCTGTTGGATTACTTTAGTTTGTTTTTCAAGAAATATTTTTGTGTTAAAATGTAATATTTTTGTTGACTTCTAAATATAAAATACAAAATTCTTCAAAGTTTTAAAATAAATCTTCAGGCTTATAAATGTCAGCCTTTTTTGGAACTTTCAAAAGCAGGCTGACCTGCATAAAAAAACTGGTTTCTCCATGTCATTGAATGGGAAAATAGAGGGCAGCAGGAACACTTCTGTACAGTTTTACCTAGGACCTCCCTACTTGGAGGGAGAAATATAATTCTTCGTCAACTTCTTTTATTTAACTTACATTTAGTATTTGTTTATGCATTTCATTTCAACAGTGATATATTTTTTGTGTGCACCTGGCAACTTCGGTGCATAATGTTCTACAAGGCATCTCGTCTGTCTTCGTGTTAAGTAAGAAATATATAGTGAAAGAATTCAAATCTTTGAAAGTATATACAAGTAGAATGTGTCACTTAAGAGAATTGGTACTTGACAGGCTTGGTTTATTCGAAATAGCATGGAAAGAACAGTTACTAACGTACGCAAATGCCGTGTTTCGACAACCCATCAGGATCGAGACAACCACACTATGTCGCTTGCAGGTCTCCCACTGAAACATCATGGATCACTCTAGGCTTATCATAATTTCTCTTAATAAACTTCAATATATTCCTGTAGAGGTAAGGGAATTTGTCATGAAGTGTTACTTAGTGTCCTCTCAAGATTGTATGCTAACTGATAATAATTACCTAATAGAGATCTAAAAATGCTTCCATATAATCTCTAAACTATACTTTTGAAAAAAAAACTTCACAAATACCTGGATTTATGTGCACAACTTTCTGAGCAGCAGAGAGAGCTTCCTTTCGATTGGACATCTGGCTCAAGGCAAATATTTGAGAAGCTTCTTCTTTACAGCCTCCATGAAAGACACTGACCTTTGTGCAATATGCAGCAACAGACTCTGAACCCCACTGAAGAAGGCACGCCGCAGCCTGCAGCCAGATTTTATTATCAGAAGGCAAACAATGCATGTACTTCAGCAACTCATTTCGTGCAGGCCTGGTACCTTTCTGTAAATAAAATTTCAATTTGTTCAAAATATGGCAAGGTCACATTATAGGGGAAGGTATGGCTTACATTTTTTTTTGCCATAGAAATAATACATTCTTTTTCAATTTATTTTGAGTTGTATTTCTGAGAAGAAAATCAATTACAGTCGGACTTCTATTTAACAAAGTTGCTAAATCCCAATAATAAGTTCGTTAAATAGAAAGTCACCTTTTGAAATACTTAAACAACACTAAACAGGTTTTAAATTCATAAACACTAGACATAATTAAAAGAGCGATCGATACACCTTTATGTTGTAAACTGTATCTACTATTTATTTTATCAATCTTAACCACAAAAGAAATCTGCATAGAAAGCAAGAATAGAGCAAAACATTATCCAGTGTTACACTATCAAGCTACACATATTTTCAATTAAAAAAAAGCTAAATTTATGTATAAAATTAGAGCTGCATTTATTATTAAAGTAAAATTAAACACAAACCCGCATGCGTTCTAAGTTTAATTATTATTGATAAAATCCTTTCATTTCGTCTGAGTTTTTCGTTTCAAATGCAAACAAAAAGGGAAAGGGATAAGTTAAGTGGCTTCGAAAATCAATTCAAGGTCATTTCCCCCATAAAATGAGTTAACAAGTCTGAAATATTTTAGGAAATAGGGGAAGTGTATCTCAAAGAAATGTTCTTTTAAATAGAAAATTCACTTGCTATTTGGAACTTATTTTACGAGGAAATTTCCGAAATGTTCTTGATTCCTTGAAAAAAATTGCGAAATAGAGAAATTCGCAAAATGGAAGTTCGTTAAATAGAAGTTCGATTGTACTTCAGTTCATGGTTGCTAATTAATTTTACAATTTAATGCACATTAAAATTTAAACTTGCAATAAGGATTTTATTTAAGATTATATTTGAAATTTATTCTAATTGTTTTAAGTAGAATTGCCAGCTTAAACGCAACATCAGTCAACAAATGTAGTTTTGTTATCATTAAGTAATATTCAGCGATATACAAAGACTTAGGTGATTTATAAACGTGTCTAGTGTAGACTTACTACAACAAATTTAAAATTATAATATGAAACAAAAAGTATTCATTTTATTTTAATGTAAGATAATCAAAATCGTAATTGAGTTGAAAGGGCAGGTTTAAAGAAAGAACTGAATTGAAACATGTTATACATTTACCACACTGAAATGAAATTAATTTTAATAATACGAAAAATAACACAATGTATAACAATAATATTCAAAGTTTANTCAAAGAAATGTTCGTTAAATAGAAAATTCACTTTGCTACTTAGAAGTTATTTTACGAGGAAATTGCAAAATGGAGAAATTCGCAAAATGGAAGTTCGTTAAATAGAAGTCCGATTGTACTTCAGTTCATGGTTGCTAATTAATTTTACGATTTAATACACATTAAAATTAAACTTGCAATAATGATTTTATTTAGTATTATTTTAAAAAAAGATTATATTTTAAATTTATTCTAATTGTTTTAAGTAGAATTGCCAGCTTAAACGCAACATCAGTCAACAAATGTAGTTTTGTTATCATTAAGTAATATTCAGCGATATACAAAGACTTAGGTGATTTATAAACGTGTCTAGTGTAGACTTACTACAACAAATTTAAAATTATAATATGAAACAAAAAGTATTCATTTTATTTTAATGTAAGATAATCAAAATCGTAATTGAGTTGAAAGGGCAGGTTTAAAGAAAGAACTGAATTGAAACATATTATACATTTACCACACTGAAATGAAATTAATTTTAATAATACGAAAAATAACACAATGTATAACAATAATAATATTCAAAGTTTAGTTAAGTGTTACTAATATGTATACAAGGAATTAAAAATTAATAGGAGGAAAAATATTTGAGCACAAATTATATACATTAAGGTATAAACTTATTGCTATTAATATATTCTCATACTTTATCATCTTTGTTTATTAATTACAATTAAGACATTTTTGAACCAATTAGTCAAGATTTAAATTACGAGCTCGGGAGCTTTCTATGCATAATACAGCAAAGATTACTTTATCTTCTGTTATCGTACTTCTAAGTAAGTCTTGATTACTTTCAGTTATAAATGTTTGCTCTGCTGATGCTGATGTTACTGGCAAAGTCAGAAATATAAAAAAAAGCAGTGCATTTATCTGGGAGGTTAGAATAAAACATCACTCTTAATCATCAGAAGATGAACGATTTCAGCAATTTTTGTCATGTTTCTCTCTTTTATTTCACTTGACACATCACTTTGATAATTTTCTTAAAATTTAGTAGCTGATTCCACAAGGTTTTTACCTACATACTCTGTAAACGCTTTGGGACTTAGAAGACAACATACTGTTGATTGAAAACATGCTCTGAAATCTTTTACGAATTAATTTTAACATTATATCCATAGCAGCAAAAAAACTTTGACTTTGAAGCTATAACATGGGTCTCTAAACTGAAATTTTTTTTTAATTCACCCAAAAAATATTTAAATTTTTCATTTTCTTTTGGTAGGCAATATAGTTTCTGAATGCTCTTTTGTTTCATTGACTGAACTATTAAAACTCATGCAGAATTTTTGAAGAAAAATTACATTCTTTTCTAGAAGATAGCAGGCTTTACCCAGTGATATTTCAGGTTTTTGAAGTTTTTATGTTTGCCGATATCTTGCTGTAAAATACTATCATCAAAATGAATTGAAATGAAGACATTTGTTTGCGTTTCTATAAAGCAGTTGCTTTTACAATTTCTATACCTTTAGTTAATGTTAGAATGATATAAGAAAGGCAATTTAACATGATGTGTAAATTTAAGTTCATTGCTATTAAACAATCATACCTAGAAGATAATCTAGTAGGATATAATTTCTTAAGTGTTTTTGTTACAATACATTCCGTAGAACATTCTTTTAATTAAGGTCCATCTGGGTAAACTTTCACTAGAAATAATGCATTTTTCATGGATCAAATATTAAAATACAACTATATCAGTAATATTTCCTACTGCAGCATTAATTACTAAATGCAGAATATGGGGTGCACAATGCACATGCATTATCACATTTCTTTTTAATTCTTGCTCGCAAGCTATTATACGAATCTTTCATAATAGCAGCTCTGTCGTAATCTTGCGATCGACATTTTCCCAAAGAAATATTGTTTTTTTCCTAAAAAGTCGCATACACTTTTTCTGTTTTCAGCTTTTTGATATTTTATAGAAATAAATCCAAAGAATGTTTCATTAATTTTCATGCTTTCTTTTCTATTGATAGAAAGATGCCTTGTTACAATTGACATTTGATCAGTCTTGGATGTGTGGTATCTACAATACTCCAAATGAAAGGAGTTTTTTAAAAATTTCTTTTAGTATATTGTTTACAATTTTGTTCCATGTGTGTGGCATCATTTAATTTTGAGTTTTAGGACTATAACATTTAATTTTGCTTTGAGCATTCTCTAAATGGTTTTTTAAGGTACGAATCATATCTAGAAAATAAATTAAGAACGTTTAAAAAGTTTTTCGATCTATTATTTTTGTTTAATATATTTTTAGAGTTTCCTCTAAAAGGTAAATTGCAGGTTGACATAGTGATTATAACATGCAAAATTCGTTTTAATACTTCACATAATATTTCTTCATCTATTTGTAATGTTATTAATTTATCTAGAAGTTTTTTCTTCATATGCAGTATGTAACGCACACATTCAAATGAAACAAAAAAGTCATACCATAATGTAATAGTGAGAAGCCCATAGTAAAGCAGTAGAGGATGCATATTGCTGGGTAAACCTGTAAGGATAGAGCTCCTTTCTTGCAGCCAATAGTAGATCCAGTTTTTCATTAAGTATACCTCCAGAGTACAGAGCCAACAATCCATAGACCGAGGCTGGAGAGATTTGGATGCTAAAAAATAAGGGAGATCCAAGAATCCAAATGAATGTAATATGAATGAATATAAATGGTTCCTTTTTCAAAATTCAGATAAGTTTATTATTTTTTTTCTTCTTAAATCTTTAATAAACTAGAATGAATAATTGCGTAGAAATATCAAACAGGAAGGTTTTTAAGGGTGCCCAATCTTTATTATGTAGATCATTCACTTTCTGGTCTATCTAATAAATACATAAAAAAAAACTATTGCAATGCAATTTTACCAAAACATGCAAATCTAGATTATAGGCTTTATGGTGCATTAACGAAGAAAACAGGACAATATTATTTTTCAAGGAAAAAAAGGCAATATTTAGAACAGTATGTGTATACCAGACTACTTTTAGAAATAGCAAACAAGAAACTTTAAACAAATAATATTTTTTGTCAAGAATAATAATGGTGAGTTTTATGCAAAAGAATAACAATCTGTATGCGCTATTTTTAATTTTAAAATTATTTTGTTTAACACAGAAAGTAATAACAGTTACCAGTATGATTTTAATAATGGAGCATAGAACTTATAATAGTAATTTGAGATAATGGAACATTTTTCCATAACTGTTGCTTTAAATAATGATAACCAGCATCAATAAATTAATATTTCCTCACACTAATATACCAATATTTAAATAAAATTTGTAACTAAGTTCAAGATTTAATTAATCAAATACTTTTAGAGTCGGTTTTAATAATTTCAAAGAGATAACACAGTAAATATGCCATTTAACTTTCGAATACAATATTAAAATGAATATATGATCTCTTTATTTACAAATTCTATGGCATGATTACAGGGGTCAGTCTAGGTTTTTTACGGGGTACCTATTTCGTGAAAATGCATATATATAATTTGCGAAAATTAAAAAATATATTAAAAAATCAAAGCAGAAATATGGTAAAGTAAGAAATTATTTTCAAAAATCGCAACTACAAATAAAAATCATTTATGACTGGTAAATTTCAAAATATTTTTTGTCACATATTCAGAAACAATTCTATTGTAAAATTTTGAGCTTAAAAATTGTTTTCCAAATTTAAAAATCCATAAAAATCATGTGGTTCATAATTAAATTTCAAATTGAATTTAATAAAAGCATGCATTTAACAGTACAAGAACTAAAAGCTATTTTTATTATGATAACATTTTTGACTAGCTCATACAAAAAAATTAATTTTTAAAATAAAAGAGTTTTGTTTACTTTAATTATTAAAAAGTGTCTGGTAAGTGGACATCCAGAAAGAGGAGTTTGTAATGCAAATAATTCATTAACAGAGGGTCCGAACGATCAAATTATGTGATTTTTTCCAGCATTATTAATTAAAATAAAAATATGTTAGATCTAAAAGTTAAATAAATTTGATTCTTTAAGTCGGCTATTTTAAAAGTCTCATTTGTATCTGTAGAAAATGGGATGTTTTGGATACAAACAAAAATCAGGATAAACTGCTGAAAAATCAGGATAACCATGAACTCTGAGATTAGATTACCATAAATAAGTTATTTTTAATAATAATAATGATTTTTTAATTAAACAGACAGAATTTTTGCAAAGTCAGAAAAAATTCCATAATACATAGAATTTATTCACTATGGAGATAAGGATAAGTCTTGAATCAAATAAATAAATAAAAATAGATGAATTACTTAATTTTAAAGCCGAAGCAATAATAAACACATACCTTTCAAATAACAAAGTTAAATGATTAGGAGAATCAGGTCCTTTTATATTCGTAGCAACCATAGCCATGGCAACTTTAATGTGAGATTTATTTGCAGGGATTTTGCACTTTTCAAAAGCTTGGGCAAATACTGAAATAAAAAGATCATCAACATTGTTATTTGGGAACGACATTAAGTTTTCTAAAAATGTATGATACATAGAACACATTTGTGAGCGTAGCACTGCACACAGGATAAACTTACATTTTAATGCCGGCTCATACTGTTTATCTTTGTACAAAGCAAATGCAAGACTGCAGATCACAGAAGTGTCATCACTAGTTTTCTTTGTCACTAGAAGGAAATTTTTGATAGCTTCTTTCATTTGGCCAACAGAACTGCAAAGGAAATCATTGATGTTTAGGATAACTTCTAATATACTTATTAATATAAAATAGGACAAATAATTTTTGATCTATCCAATTTTATAAAATTTCATACTTAAAAATTAGATTTCCCAAGAATTATTCGACCAATTTCATTCAAACTTCGTATTTTGTCCTTTAAAAAGACCTACTTTAAGATGATGTAAAATGTTGCATGGCTGACAATCCAAAATCATTTAGACTTACTATGAAAAATAAATAAATATTATAAATTATTTTTTGCATGGAGTTATCTTTACATAAATGTATTTTATGGTTGTGAGAAAAACTGTTTTGATTAGCTTTAAAAGTTCTCAGACTACAGCAATATGTGCTAAAACTGAAACCTTAATAAGAGGTATTAACTTCGGATTGCTCTCCCCCCTAAACTCTTGAGATTATATTTTCCAGATAGGGGTTTCCAGAGAATCAATAATCGGTTTCATAGCTTAAAAGAATGTCTGCACTAATTAATTTGCATAATTCAAGTTGTCACACGTTTGAGTTTGAATACACAAAAATCCAATCTTAAGTTATTCAGGATGTTCAATTTTTTTTATTTTGAGCACTGTCTGTGGCCTCTACAGAGACACTGACATTTAATTGATGACACAGCATGTTTAAAATTTTTTCACTTCTTCTACCCTAGGATAACTCTGGTAATACATGAAACATACTTCATGATTTCTATTATTTTAAAACATACATTAACTCTAACATTTTATTTCTTGGCTACATCTTTTATACCCTCCAGTCAAATTTGGAGGATTTAGAGAAACGTAAGTATGGATTTATAAGACTTTGATGCTGAGTTCTTTTGGACGATGAAAAAAATGTCAATATAAATGAAGGGCTCAGGTTTATGCAAAATTTCCTAATCTCTTTCAACTTTATAAAATATTTATCTTATATCAAACTATAAGTTGGTGTGAATGCAAATCTCAACTTGAGGAAAAGTAACCTAGAGTTTGTTTGAATTTAAGTTTGTTGCATCAATAGAAACATATTTTTAAATTATCGTAATCTAATCATCATAATCTAAAATATTCTTAAACTGAAATAAAAATATGTCTCGGTATGATTAGTTGATTTAAAACAAATCTATTTGTTAAATATAAATACCTATTCTTTTTTCGTTAAATTTTTACTTTATTTAACAAAGCATTTTAGTTTGTAACTAATTTCATGTAAAAAATCTTTGTCAAAAAGATTAATTTTTAATTTTTAAAATTGTTTGCTATATGTTTGCACAAGAAAAAAAATTTTTGAAAAGGAATTTTTCCCCCCATGTACTACTTTCGAAAAAATCAATGAATTTCCAAATAAAATGTCTTTTGTTGAGGCATAGTAACTTATAATAACTGAATAATGAAATAATAATAATACCTTAATACTCTAGCAAAATTTATTCGTACTGCCAGATCAAACTCAGTTTCGTTATTATCCTTCATGAGATTCAAAGCTCTAAAAATAATAGAAAACAAGATTATGATAGTCAGATCAAATGAAGTAACACTAAAAAAAATTTAAACTAAGTATTCTGATTATGAAAAAAAAATCTGAGATGCACAACAAATTAGGGCCAGCCTTACATACCATGAGGTTTTACAGTATATATCATGCCACCCACTCTCTGTTGATGTAACCTATTCACTGAAAATGTTTTTTAAGTTCTGATTCTAATCTGCAAAGGCAAACATGTTCAGTTTATTTTATTATATTTTATAACCAGCGATGAACAGTCCACTTATTTTTGAGTTTAGTACTATCAATGTTCAATTCTATAGCCATGTAATATTAACCTCACTCAGAAGACAAGGATCAAGTATTAGAGCAAACTAGCCTTCATAAAAGAACTAACATCCAAAAGAGTGACGAGTACACAGAAATTTATACTGGGCCCATCTTTTCACAGAAGAATTTTTACCTCTGCATACTCCTGAAAAGCTTTTTTCTTCCTTTTATGGTGCAGAGAACTAACAAATAGATAATTCATTCATAATAAAGAATATTGTGAAAGTAATTCTTAACAAAATAGTGATAAGTGGAAGTTATTTGTATTAATTTATCAATAAACACCATCTATTGTCCGTATGTACTTATTGTATATGAAGAAGTTCTTTACACTATACTCATCAAACTAAAAGGGAGGAAAAAAAATTGTGTGTTTTGGACATCAGGTAACAATTAACATAAATTTCCCTATCATTATGTCGCTAAATAAAACCTTTAATACCAATAGAATCCAACAACAAAGAAAATCATAAATAATAAATTTATAAATGTACTCTTAAGGGCATATTTGTATTAAAAAATATTGGACTTAAATCAATGATTTCTAAAAAAAAAAAAAAAAAACTATCAGGTGATTTAAATCTCATCAGCCCGGTTATATACTGACCTTGGCCGGTAACCGGCTGAAGTGTTTAAGAAGAACCCTGCTATATCAGGGGTCTGTCTAGGCTTTTCTGAAAAGTACCTATTTATTGAAAATTTTGATATAATTTGTGAAAAATTAAAAATTATATTAAAAAGTCAACACAAAAACATGGTAAAAATACAGATTTATTGTTTCTTAAGGGAGACAAAAATAAAATTTTAAGAAAAAGTATTTTGTAAAAAGTATTTTGTGAAACTACCGTTTTTCCTAAAGTTAAATTTGTGAAACTACCATTTTACTTAAAATTGAATTTGTGAAGGTACCGCTAAACGGTAGTAAATTCGGCCTGGACAGATATATAGATATACAGATTATATAGATATACCCAATCAAAATAATAAATGAACACCGATTTGCAACTACTTGGAGTCTGTAGAAACATTAAGTCAAAAACCATTGTATTATAACAAAGAGAGTCAAATTTTCAAGAAAATGAATTATAAAAAGGCAAATTAAGTTGCATTATTAAACATATGACATTTTTTTAAAAATTTGTCTCAAAATACTCATAAACTTAATAACCCACACAATTTTCCTCTTAAAATAAGCAATAAACCATACTTTAAATCTTAATTGATTAGTTCAAAAATTTGTTTTTATCTAATTAGTAGAAAAACTATCTCACACATAAACTTATTTAAGGTGTAAGGAAAAAAAGTTTAGCACCAATAAAACATAGTTACTATAGCAAGGATATATTTCAATACTTTTCAATATGAAAAATTGCCAATTATGTGCAATTTATTGAAGTATACAAAAATATAGGATAGTTTTTTAATACATAGGATTTATAGGAAACATAGGAGGACTTTTACTCCTAATTCAATCCACACCAACCTTTTAAACTGGAAAATGAGGAAGAAATTCCATCTTTCCTGTTTGACAAAAGAACAAAAACAGGAAATTGGCACCAGCGCATGCTGGTTAATGGATAATTTTTTTAAAGTGACTTTAAGAACTAAATGTTAGAAAAAGAAGAAAAGAAATTGAAATTTAAAAAAAAATAGGTACTTTAAGGCCAGCGGTTCCCAAAAGGTATCCCTAGGGTTCCGTAGAAAAGTCACAGGGATTCTGAGAGTTAAAACTTTAAAAAATAATAATAAATAGTATTTTGGAAACCTATTTTCATATCTATATCCAATCAAAACAATCTGTTACTTATTTAATATTTCGGTTATTTTTATGAAATTATTTAGGCAAAACGTCAGTAAAAAAAAATTGTGCTATTTTATAAGAAAATATTTTTTCTAATAACAATCTCTGGAATAAATTATTCAAACAACCAGCATTTATACGAGATTTGCCCTGATACTTCTCAAACTTTTTAATTTAAAGAGAATAACAAAACTCAACAATAAAAAAATGTGTTTCTTTGATAAGCATTTTCAATATTTATGACAGTTAATTCAATGTTCATAATTCATTTTCATGTCAACAAAAACCATAATTCAGCTTATTTATATATTTATTTATAGCTTAGGCATACACTAAGAACTAATTCAGAGCTTGGCGACATGCTGCTTCAGACCTGTGGATTCAACTGTCTAACATGAAATCAATTTTAAAGACTATTATTGATAAAAAAGATTAAAAAAATTAACACTATTTCAAAACTGTGTTTCTTAGGTTAAGTTTACAATTGCTAACAAACTTTATTTATTAATTTGGCGTCACACCAAAAGAAGGTAAATTATTTGGGGTTCCATAGCTCGTGAAAATTGAGAGCCGTTGCTTTGAGAAACCAACTCTAAAAATACTGCCTATACCATAAATTCTTTTTTAGTACAAAATTTAAATAGTAAAAAATTTACCGAACCAAAGTGTAAATATAGATTATAATACAAGAGAAAAGTATCTAAGTATATTTCCTTCAACTAATAAATATTTATATTAACACATAATTAATATTTCATTACCTTTCATAAGCCAAAAGCGATCCATTACATATACGCTGTCTCTCTAACAATATTCCTAATATGTTATTCATTTCAGCAGAATTATGATTGTTGGCTAAAATATAAAAATACATTTTTTATTTAGTGTTAGTTTTAATATTCAATTAATTAAAAACAAAATAATAATGCTGATAGAACTCATAGCTAAAGCTTGGGTGGTAACCTAACATTCTTTAAAAAGTAGCCTTAAAAAATTAAAATAAAAAGGCTTCTAAAATCATCAAAAATGATATAAATATAAAAATAAATGGGTGTAATTGACGATTTGTTTATTAAAAGCAAACTATTTGACACAAGAAAATTATAATTTAAAAGTTTCATGACACTTTAACGAACATTTAATTTCTTTCCTTACTATTCTATCTTGAACCACAAATAATAATTTACCTTCATCCCTTTTTATAATTTCTCTAGATAAAGCCTATTATTCTATAACAATTTTTATGAATTTGCTCTCTAAACCTTTAACTTATCATGTCTTTTTCATCAGGAATATTTAAATTAGGAAATGCCAAGAAATTTCCAAAGATTAGCAATTTTGTTAACCGTTTAATGCTTTTTCACTTCCCCCAAGAAAAAAAGTACATAAAAAATTTACAGAAATTTTTTTTCCATAGGAATAACATTAATATTTCAAGAGTTTATATTTGCTTGTGAAAGTGTAGTCAAAGTTATAAATTAGCTATTATTCGCTATGGCTAGTTAATATGTTAGTAATACATAATTCTTACTCAAGCTTGGTCATGGAGGCATTCTCAATAAGTCTTATGGATCCATACCGCCAATCAGATTCCGAAACTTTTAAACAGTTTTTTTAAAAACAAAAGTAAAGTTAAAAGTAGCTGCCAGGAATCGCTAAAAAATACTGTTTTTCTTTATATTGCACTACTCACTATAAAAAAAAGTAGTGTCGTGTTGTGATGATCAAGTGTAGATGAAGTGAGTATAGATAAGTAAGGAGTTCGCACGAAGTGGCTGTGAAGTAAAGACGTTTTTTTGTAGGAGTCTGGGACTCTGAGAAATTATTGTTTGGACAGTATTGTTTTGCTACTTCCGAACACTGCATACAACACATCTTTCATTTCTAAAGATAATATAGTGAAATCACATTGTACATACCTATAAATTTTATTGAACAGTCAGCAGCACGGACAACTGCGTCCATCTCTTCAATGTTATATTTATATGATAGAGAGTTTTTATCCTCAGTATTCAGAAGTGCCTCACACACTGCTTTTGAATAACCAGCGAGTGCTTCGTTCTAAGATTAAAATAAAACATCTTATACGGCCAATTCCTAGATTTACGTAAAATTTTAAAACTCCAGACCACATGAAAAAATGGTCATAAAAATTAAATTAACTCTATGTAATAAGCTAACTGAATTTTTTTCATATAAATCAATCTCAATTCCATAACATTTTAACATAACATAGATAGAAAAAGTGGACTTATAAAGGGCAAAATAATACTTAGATTACTATAATTTCAAATAATTATAACTACTTAAATATTCAAGATAGACAGGACAAATGCTTCAATAGAATGGTATTATAAAGCATCATTCATTGACCAATAGCCGTTTATAACACAATAAACAGTCATTGGCCAAAAGAAATGTGATCCCCCAACAAAGAGGCTCTCTTTATTTCACACAATTCAGCGTGTATTTGGAGGCCCGGAAAGTAATGTCGTTTCGGTGCATTTGATATTTGTTATCAAGATTTTATTTTTAATCAATAATGTATTCACCCTCGTTAGTAACAACCTTTCAATGTTGGATCGAAAATGAATTGAAAAAAAAATGAATTGGCTTTTAAGACAAACGAATATTTAATGCGCCGAAACAACATTACTTTCCGGTCCCCTCACATATATATAATTACTTTGATATACATACAGTGTGTATCAATGCAATAATTTTAAACAAAAAATATTTCTAAAAAAACTAAGGAGTTAATTTCTTTGATAATATTAATCTTTTAGACAGTGAGAATGCAGCACATCACAAGGCAACAAGTCAGAACTGAAAACAGAAATGGTAACATTTCAAGCTTTGATTGATTTTACTAACCTAATAATAATCTCTTCACATGTGGAAGGGAATTTGTTTGCAAAAGAAATAATATTTATAAGACAATAGCACTGTAAAAATCACCTAAAATAGCAAATTTTAGAAGCTGATTTAAACAAAGCACCAAGAGCTCATGGTAGCGACAAGAGGCTAGATTGGAAGACTATTTTATATACTTTTCTATTTTTTCGAACATATTTAGTTCTGAACTTCTTATCTCGAAAACTTGCTATCTCAAATTTTTTTTAGCGTCTCTTTAACTTTGAGACATCGAGAGTATCGCAAATTTTGCATAAAAAAGAGAAAATATACATGAAAAGTTTATCCTTTTAAAGATGTATATTAACTTAGTTTGAATTTTAGTCAATAATAATTTTTGAGTATAATTGGAATACATTCCTATATAGCCCATAAACAGCCTGTAACCAAAGTCTGTGTGTGCGTGTTGTAAAGGACTTTCAATTATTTCAGTAAAAGAAAATTCTAAATTTTTGAAAAAGATTGATCTTATGCTTATGTAACTGCTGATTATTTTTTAGTTTCAGATTCTAACAGTTCAAAAAAATTTCACACAGGTGAAAGATTTTAAGATGCTTAAAAAAAATCTGTGATGAAAAGTTACTTGCATGAACTATATAAGAAACTGCAATTGGGATTGTCAGCCAAAGAGAGCAATTAGAAATGACTCATAAAAACCTTCCTTACGTGAGATCCAAGTGTTGTAGCATGTCTAAAAAGATCCAGAGTTTCTGAATGCTTCACTTTTTCAGCAATGAATGCTTGGCCAATCCAACTGAGGGGATAACTTGGTTCGGCAGACTGAGCCATTTTGAAAGCGAAGTGAGAAAGCTAAAATAGTAATAATATCCAATGACAATACAAAAAGGATATTCATGTATACACAAATAAAATAAAAGTTACCTTAATATTTTGGTTTAACAAATATAAAATGCCCAGATTCGTCCAAGTTTCTGCATCCTAAAATTATAAAATAGGGATATTAAAAAATAGAATTTCCAGAATACTATATTTTTTAACTAGGAGATACTACCAATAAACTAATATAGTGCAATATATAAATTCCCTTAATATAGTTTGAATGAAGTCCACATTTGAAAGAAAAATGATTTCCCTACAATGTAGCCACAAATAATGAACCAGATTTGATTTTCAGCAGATTATATGGCAATTTCTATGTACAGAATTGAAACAGACATTTACACAAATGGAGTGTATTACACATTTATAGTTCAAAACCAGTGTTGTTTTAACCATATATTTTTTTCATTTCATCAATTTGAATTTAAAATCAAAATTTTTTAATTTGTTTATTAATTAAAGAATACTTTTATGATTTGAAGTTTTTAAAAAAATATATTTTCATTTCACTTTATACTACTGCTTTTCCTATTTTTTTAATAAACACTAGTTTCATACTTTGAAGATATTCAAATTATTTAATTATCTATGTAATTAAAATTAAAGTAAGATATACTATTTCGTATTAATTATACAAGTTATTAAATGAGATTATTTGATGAATTGGCATCTGTACTGAATTTACTTAGAAATGATGCAGGTATAATTTATATACTCAGAAAATACTCATAAGCCCAGAAAAATTCAGTAAAAAACATCACAAAATTGTTAAGAAATTCTTACATGTCTGTTGACTAGAAGTGACTTTACCAGAGCATGCTGGCCAAATGCAAAATCCTTCAATCCTGAAAAAGAGAAATAAGTTGAATATAGAAGAATTAAAAAAGAAAAAACTTGTATATTCAGGAGCATTTGAGGCATGTAATCTTGAAAAACTAAGAAGTCAAACAAAACAAAAAATCTTATATCATAAAAAAAGGAAAATATGCTTCAGTCTGTCTGCTTACAAGAGTAGATAAAAAAATATGCCAACAAGATTTATACTTAAATCATATCATTCATACAATTCAATAAATTAATATGGTAATGAAAGAAAGAAATTATTCACTAATCAATAGTTATCATAAAAAATTAAATACGAATTTCTGGACTACTTTAAAAGATGATTTATAGAGCAACACCTCAGGTGACATGATTCAGTGAAAATATTTTCACGACTTCAAAATATGAATGATGCTAGTTTGTTAAAGTTACAATTTGAGATCATAGCTCGACTCATGTAGCGCCATCTTTTGAGGTTCGTTGCAAACGGTTGATAGCTTTCTATGAAAAATTATGAGCCGCTAATTAATTAATATAAAACTATTAACTTACAATCTTGAAATCCCTTAATTTACAGCTAGATATTGATGAATTAGGTATTAATAATTTATGCGTTTATTATAATGAGGAATAGTCACAAATTAGGCAAATTGTATTGATGTGAATTATGTTTCTTATTTCTCTAAAAAAAAGGATATTTCATTTGTATGTATGTAATTATTTGTTATAAAAAGTAATGTTTATAAAAGATTGTATAATTTTATACACAAATCTAAAACCTATGAAATAATAGAACCGTAAATGCAACATGTTCATTTATCTCTCAATAAATTTTGCCTGGTAACAATGAATTCATTGTAATATGATCTATAAGGAAAAATTGACACGGATCCTTGAATTAAACCTTGATGATAACAATAATAAACTCTTAAATTGAAATTTAACACTTTTTCTGAACTTTTATTTTTTTTAGACAACATACAAGAAATTATATTATTTAAATAAATACTTTTTGATGCTGATGCTAGAATGAAAATGCTTAAACTATTAAAGTAATTAATTTATTACTTCTGACCCCCTGAATTACAACCTATATAATGAATTATAATTTAAAATGTATCGTTCTTTTTTCTTTTTTTTTAAATTTTGAATTTCTAAGTGGTCATTAAACAGAAAATTATAAAGCATTTTTTGGTCCTTGCAGATGTTAGAAAGAAAATGTTTAAAGAATGAACTAACCTTCTCCAAGAGCTATCACCCCAAGAGTTCTCCAATGAGCATCATTAATGGGACAAATACTAATTGCCTTTTGAAGACAGGTGAAAGCTTTCTTAGAAAACTCGAAAGGATTATTGGAAAGGGTTGACTGGTAATGGTAGTTTACACCCAGATCATGCCAGAGAGTACTCACGGAATCTTTAATAAGCAATGCGCGTCCAAAGAATCTGAAACATTAAGGTGTAAAACAGAAATATATATCTTTTGCACCACCCTTTTATAATGATCAATACACAAAGGACCAATTAAAAAGACCAAACGCTCTTTTAATACCAATTAGAGTGTTTTAAAAGTTTATTCAGACATAGCAAACGAAATTTGGTTTTATTCTATTTTCATTCCAAAAAAAATCACTTCAAAAATAAGCATTAAACAGTTTTCTGCTTTCAAAAATTAATGTTTCTATTGACTGTAAAATGGTTAAATAGTAAAAAGTTCAAAACAAATAAATAAATAAAAAAAATTAATTAATTATAAACCACTATTTTGTATGATGTTAATGGAAATGGAACTTGAAAATTCTTGAATTAGTTTTGAATAAAGAAAGAGTAATATGAACCCCTAGATTATTATTCAAAGTAATTATGACACATCATTATAAAAATAGTGACGAAATAAACATATTATGGCATGGAAATTGGAATCAAGGCCAGACACTGCTTTTACTGTCCCCAGAAGAAAATTAATTGTGGTTCTCTAAATAAAAACAGAAAATCTGCATTATATAATTGATTACTGCTTCGAAAACTTTTTTTAAAAATAGTAACAGATAACACTTTGAGTCTCAAAATATCACTTTTAAAAAAATATGAATTTTCAATACTCTATTATTATAGTTTACTTCTGCTTCTTCAGTTGTGGTAAGCATAACTGAAAGGAAAACTTGGATAGTTATTAAATATTGTAACATGATTAGACACATGAAACATCAATTTATGAACACAATAAAGCATGTTTGAATGATAAAAACAGAATTCAAGACAGGTATTCAAGACAAGAACAAATTAATATCTTGCCCTTTTATTTGCAAAAGAAACAGTCCTTTGTTCAAAACTATTTTAAATTTATTATAGCTACTAAACCATATTAAATTTATTATTAAAAAAACTAGGGAATAACAAATTATTTCTAAAATATAATAATTTTTAACATTTCATTGCTTAATTGTAATTAATGTTACTACAAAACAATTTTGTAGAATATCAATATGCTTACTTTTTTTTAAATATTTTATTAAAATATATTATTAAAATATATTATATTAAAATATATTTTTTAAATATTTTAATAAATATATTATTAAAATAATTCTACAATTATTAAAATAAACAATCAAAAGTTTTAAAAATTCAAAATAAAATGAATAGGAATGTTACAAACTACTGTTCAAAGTTAGCTTTTGACTTGAATAAGTACAAAGTTGGACACAACAACCTTTGTAGAATTACTTCTTGCTGGAAAAGCTTTGTTATCCCACATATGTTGAAGTTGGCCTGTTTGATGTTAAGGTAAAAATCATGGCTTGAATTTATCACAGAAAGTGTTCCATTTAAAAGATTCTCTCCTTTGTTGAAATTCTTTTAACCTTTGGGAACTTGAATTGCAAGTGCTGGTCATCTTAAGTATTGGCAATTATCAAGAAAACAGGGCTTGAACTGCATTTTAAAGCCAATAATATAAAAAAGTCCATTCATAAAAATTGAGGAATGTTCTTTTGCTATTAAAAAAAATCCTCCACATTTTTCTTTTAAGCTCAGTTAAATTTTTTTACGCAATTTCCCTAGCAAAAATTTTACCGTTGCCCCAGTTGGGTTCAAAATTGGCTCAATATGGATCCTACAAAAGAATGCACCGAAGGACCAATATTGTGATGTCTAGATATTTAAATATTGGTACTATAATGGTCTATATTGGCAAATATAGAACCAACATTGGTTAAATAATGAATATAAAATATTGAGTGAATCTGACAATTCTATATAGGACCGCTATTGGTTGTAAAGTGCCGTAAAAGATAGGGTGAATCGGAAAATTCTATATAGGGCCAATATCGGAAAAATAACGGCCCTTTGAACCTTTATTGAGCCAAGAATCATAGGCCAAGTTATTTTGATGTTAGAGTTCCATGGAGCCCTTGCAATCCCAGGACAATTGTCCTTTTCTCCCTGCCTCTTGAGTACTGCCTTGATTGGAATGATATCCTATACATTCTTTAAGTTGGAAAGAATATAATTTCAACCTATGTAAGTTTTTTTCTTTAGGTACTGCAAGTTTATTATTACTTAATCTTTTGAAAATTCATGTTTTTTTTTTTGCGAAATGTTAGTCTCTGTGGGTTATTTTTAAGTTCAGCCATATATCGAAAATAGACGACTATAAGCTTTGCCAGTCAGATCCATAAAATTTTATGAACAAAGGTTTAACATGCTTTAAACTAAGCATTACAAATAATTCTTTTATATAAATCTGGCTATTTTTTTGACATAAAAGGACAACACCTACTTAATTTAAATTATTAAACAAAATTATTCACATAAGTCTTTTTTTTCTTTATAAATCTAGTAAGTCTTTTTTTACACAACTGAAAATAAATATTTATAGGAAAATTTTCAATGGGTATGGAAAGAACAAATAAAATTACTTCTTTTTAACAAAAAAATGGTGAAATTTATTAAATTGATAGAGCAGAGGGATTTTGCCAGTTTGAATGAAAAAATAAATAAGTGTCATCAGTTAGAACAGAATAAGATGGAAGCGATGCAGTAAGGGAAGGAACAAAAGCAACTTTGATCCCCTTATTGCATTGGTAGTGAGGGGATGAAAAATAGTCACCTTGCTCCAAAAGAAAGTATCTGAAGTTTATCACAGGAAACTGATTCACATATTTTGGAATCCTGCACAAGCTCAACAGGTACATTGAAAGGAAACCATTTCTCATTGAGGTGATATGGAATAGTGCATGCATCTCCTGCCAACTTCCAAAGGCAAGAAAGTCCATTATTAGTCTTTGCAACTCTAAAAATAATGAAACAAACATTAGGTATTAGATATTTCTTCTTCACATAACATCATAACAATATATTGTCATCCATAAGCACAATAACTAATTAATCAATACTTTTAGACTTTAAGAAAAATCAACCAAGTGAAAGATTAAACAAATTCAGGTAGAGGAAGTTTTCGTTAAAACCATAGTTAAATTTATGTATCACTTTTATGGGGCAAAATTAACAGACACCACTGCCACTAAGGCAGCTATCTAAATACAAGATAAGATTAAAAAATTGTGTGCCAATCAATACGTTTTTTTTGTCCCAAATGCACCCCAAGTGCATAGTATTTTTTTAAAAATGTATGGAATTATTATGAATGTTTTATAATATTCTGAAAAATACTTTATTCCATTTTAGAATTGTTCTAGTTACTGTTGTCATAAGAAAGACCTTACATTATTATTATCAAGAGTTTTTCTAATCATTTTTTTCTATTTTTGAAAAAGTGGCCACTACTAAAAATGCTACTAGCAACTACCAAAAATGCTACTAGCTGGTCTCAAAATTTAATAAATGAAAAATTATAATTGCTATTAAATATTTTCTCGTTTGATTTATTACTTATTAAATACATTAAATAATCATAAATAAAATAATAAACAAGCATTTGAAATCGATGTCAGCAATTTCAGACAAGGTAAATAGTGGAAAGAACTATAAAATCTATCAATATCAGTCAAAATTTCGAAAAAAAGATAGATATTTGATAGAGAAATATATTATTTAGCAAATTAAGAACAATGATCATAACTGAATTTTTTACCATAAATTATTGTACAGATCTTTCTTTGAATTGATAACTTTAAAAAGTTAAGTTAAAAAATTTTTTAAGGAAGTAACTAATTTAGAATAGAATTTGAGCACCGAGCATGAATATTTGAAACTCATAATGAAAAAATACCTGGACAAAATATCCAAAGCCTCTTGACAGGAATCCTTTGCAACTCCAAACAAACAATCATCCAAAGCTCTTCTGGCATGCAAAACCAATGATTCTGCCAATCCTGCAAAATAGTCAAATGAATCAAGAATAATTGAAACTTCCACAAGAAAATCACAATTAACGGATGCAAATAAAGAGCTATTTTAATGAAGTTTTTATTTTTTTCATAGAATAATGTCATTAATTATATTTTTCAGTAAAGCAGAGGGGTGTCTGGATTAACAGCATTTTCAGCCCGTATTTATGAGATTTAAAAAAAGCTCATTAAACAGAATGGTATTCTATAACAAAATTCAAGTATTTGAACTGAAGTGAATGTTCATTTATTCAAAACAATTCCTGAATTTTGTTTAAAAATGTAACAAAACACACCACTGTTTCCAATGCTACTTTTTCATCTTTTTTCCCAATCCATTCTCATGCATCCAAAAGGTTTAGTAATAAATGCTTAATCAAATAAATTATAAATACCTATAAGAGCTGGAATATATGTTGGAACTGTATTTAAAAGGCTCTTAAATTTCTCAATGGCTTCTGTGAAGATCCCTCTCATTTTTTGAATTGTCGCAATTCTAGAAGAAAACACTCTTTTAATGAGATTAAAATATCCATTGAATGTTGTGAATATTAACTTAGGTCAAATAAACAGAGGATATTTTTGGAGATTGTTTAAATAATGCAAAAGCAAGTTTCTGGTGATTTTAGAACCATCATCCTCAAAGAAATTTAAATTTATAAAACTGAAAATTAAGTATCATCTTCATGCTCTGGAGATAAATTTTTTTTCCTTCCCCACACTCTATGCCATCTTCACTTATTCTTTTTCATTATTAAGTTATAGTTACTTCCTCTTTCAATCTCAAATGAAAGGTATTAATTTTTAAAAAATTTGATTAGATAAATTAAGTAATACAATTTTACTAGTAATTAATATACTTTTATTTAAGCGAACCAATTTACTTTTTAAATTTTTGAGATGTTAAATTCATATACAATTACTATTAGAACGTTTTGAGAATACTTTTTCAAAATTGTTCCTCTTCCAGCTTAATTAGCAATTTTACCTGAAAACTTCTTTTAAAAAACAAAATTAAAAGTGATTTTTAACACTGCTTACTTAAACAGCAGAAAAATAGTTTCCAGAAATTTCTTTTGTTAAAACCGCAAAAGGCTAGTAATTTTTAACTCGTTATTAAATCAAAGATATACGATTACTCATAACAATAATAATACAAGATTTTATGGTTTAGAATATTATTAATTGATTAAATTTAGGCTTAGAGGAGATGGAGAGGACAAAAGATGCTTAATCGTTCGTTCCATTTTAGCTGCTCTGTCAAAAAACTAAAACTCATATTGCTTAACTTTTTATATTACATTCTACTTTTTTTTATCTGATAAGCCATTGCTAAACTTAAGAAAAAGTTACGTTGGGGTGATTTCTCAATCTGTCTCATGAGCATCTATGAGTTTAATCAAAGCTATTTATTTGAATTCTTATTTACAAAACACACTTATTCTCTGTTTAATAATTTATTTTGAAACATTCAATTCAGGGTCTTAGTGTAATTCTAAATTTAATGACAATAAGCATCATAATAAAATGGGAGTGTAATGCAAAAATTTTCAGGAGTTATTCGATCAGTCCTGGAAATCAATGACCGCACCCTGCATATTAGTGGGATACAGAAAAATAAGGAAACGCTGACACTCACTGATACAAAGGGTACATTGCTCTTGAATTGATCTCGTACACTCTTTCATAGGCTTTTAATGCAGATTCATAGCTTCCACGTTTAAAGTATGCATCAGCCAGACATTCCCAGCCATGACTGAAAAAGAAATGTTAAGTTAATTAATTTAAGAATGAATAAAAAAGAACACAGTTACAATCGGTCTACATCAGAATCATTTTTAGTAACTTGAAAATGAAATTTTTGAAATTAAAAAGTCTTTTTGCGGCAAAAAAGGCATGAAATACATCTACCAATAAGTATTTGGACATTATTGATCCAAAAGAAAAGAAAAACAAATTGATATTCAATAGTTTGTAGATTTCCAACAAGAGAACATTTCAGTCTCGATTCTCCGGTCATGCTTTCTTCCACCAGTTTAAAAATTAGTTGACTTTTCTCTGGCTCAGATTGGAAAATACTTTCAAGTTCTGTCTATGGCTGTAATCCTCCTTTATTCAGCAATCCCATTCGACCCAGAGATTCTTAATAGAGTTCAAGACTAGTTCATTTGGTTAACCCCATGGTCCCCGTACCAATCCATGGTCAACTCACAATATGAGTGTTGTCCTTGAAGTAACCCATTACGTAGGAAGTAACTCATTACAAACAGTTTTGAGCTTACTAAATTTGGAAAAAGGTTCTTAGTCCATAACCTCAGTCTAAATACTTACCCGCAAATATAGTTTCAAACATATTTTTATAGGATATTACAATACTTATGTTTTATAACAGTCGTTGAACACCTGACCCAATTTTTAGGTTTACAACTACTTATGTTCAACTTCGTAGTCTTGTAATTTTGACCCACTCTTGAAGACAATGAAACTCCTGGATCAGTATCCCCAGAGGTATGATTTGTTATGGAAATACAGAGGACTTTGTGGCCCTACAGATTTAAGGCGCAATAGTCACCATTTACTACACAGGGAGTTTTTGGCAGGCAGGGATCGAGCCTACGACCTCTTGGACGTGGTCCCAGTGCTCTACCAACCAGGTTATCCGGGCCCTACAATATTTATAGGATATATTATAAAGGATAGGATTTATAGGATGCTTGGGAAATTGCAAAATTTTCAAATCCTGTATTTGAGCCATTACTTGTATTGAGTCAAAGCACATCTACTTGGAAACATGGATTTTGAGTCACTGAATCCATCTCATTTAACACGGTTTTCAAATCCTAAATTTTTAGACCATATTAAAAAACCTGAATCACACTTTTCAGCAATTATTTTTACTTAATAAGTACCATCTACGTAAAGACTTGAAATGGGAGAAGATTTAACAGTACAATATTACTATTGCACGAGCTGTTAAAATACAGTAACTTAGGAAACTTATGTAAATTGGACTACATGTTCATCAGCTGTAACATCAATCAATTTACAGTGGTTTAAAAATTTTAAAAATCACTGTTCAAACACCTTGAATGAAATTCTTATATTATATCTAATAATTTCCTTTAAAGTATTGATTTTCTTTTTTTTGTCCTATGCCTGTTTAGGCAGTGGAAGTGCGATTGTTCTTGTTTTTCAGTGGCGCCATCTATGGCCAGGATTTCGACTTCTGCCACGCCATTCACTCCACCACAACCCGTTTATAGGGCGGGTCACATTCATGCACAAAGGAGAAAGGATATAGAACAAACAGAGAGAGAGAAAGAAACATCCACGCCCGGGCCGGGATTCGAACCCAGGACGTTTCTGATGAAAGGACAGTTTCCTGTCCCCTACACAGGCCGGTCGGCTAAAGTATTGATGGCTAGGATGTTAATTCCAAAATAGTGTAAAAAAGCACAGAAAATAGTTTTTAAACAGAAATTAATTTCAAAAACATTGTTTTAAAATAAACCATTAATAATGAAAAATAAAAGTGAGAAACAAAATTTAAATAAAAAAACAAACAAACAATAGTAGCCAATAGAGAAAGAAGAGGAAAAACAGACCAAGAAAAACCCTGGTGGTCAAGAATGCGCTATGACGAGGTCGTGTGGTACTAAAGTCGTTAACAAAGAAATCAGCATTCATACGAGTAAATATATGAATATTTATTTAATAACTATCACTAGTTCGATTGAGTGAAATCTTTTTTTAAAAATTAATTATGATTCACTTCAAACATTTTGTTAGAAATGTTTTAATTTTCACTCACTTCTTGTAACTATAACACAATTTTTTAATGATTGTATGTAATGAAGAAGACAAAAATGTCAATAAATATAAAGATATTTGGAATTTTCTTAAAATTAACAAATGAAGAACAAAAAAAGAACTGCTAAGAGAAAAATAACGAGTTTATTGATCCTTAATGTAAAAAAATGTGAAATATCTTACCACAAAGCTGATAAAAAATATTGAAAATTTATTTTATATTTAACGATAGGTCCAATGGTGAGAAGATAATGATCTTTCAGAAGAGGGAAATCAGCCCAAACAAATATAAGAAGTAAAGATAGCTTAAACACAAGAACGTAGAGGAACCTGGAATGCACCATTACAAAGTTCTGGTACTTTTAGTAAAGCAAATTGTGGTTCTTAACTCTTACTAAACATGTTATCGTTACTTTAATTTTTATTTAAAAAAAAAAAAAAAAAAAACAACTAAGTTTTAGTATAATCTACTTGTAATACTAGATTAAGAAGATTAGTACATTTGAAGAATTAGTCATCAATGTAACTGTGGTTTTAAAATTTTCCTCCATTATACCAGCTTTTAGGAATAGTGGCTGAATAAGGAAAATTAACACTCAGTATGGAAATGTTTTAAATTTTTCAAGCAGCTTAATATAATACAAACTGACTTCAAGAGTTTAAAAGCAAAAATAAACAAGTAAATATAGCTTTTCATTTAATGGAAAGAGAAAATATAGAGACTACAAAAAATAAATATGGAGACTTAAATATAGGAAATTTGTATAACTTTAGCTGATAATTGTTAATAGAAAATTATCTATGATAATTTTAAAAATAGAATGCTACTTCGCATTTTAGGAATACTTTTGCATCAGTTCCAACAATGCTTAAAACAAGTAAAATAAACGTTTTTTTAATAAATAAAAAAGAAATATTACGCTAATAAAGTTTTTACCTGCTATCAGGATCAGCTCTTAAGGCTTTTTGTAGAGAGAATATAGCGTCATTAAAATTATTTTTTTCCAAATAGTAAAGACCAAGTTGAGTCCAAGCCCACTTGCAGCTACAATAGATATAAAACACTTTTAATAATTAGATGTAAAAGAACTAATACTTCATAATCAAACAAAGATAACTAAGTAATCTTATATCAGCACTGCTTTTTAAAATTCTGTTAGACACAATAAAATGTAAAGTTTGTGTATAATAAGTGTCTGAATATTCTGGGAAAACTTGCAGCTATGAAATTTAACCTTTGAAGGCTGTCGTCATTTTAGTCTATTATGTGCTTCATTGTGAACATTTGTATATGTTACTCAATTTTTGAATCTACTTTTCATCATAAATCTTTTAGAGTTTATGATAAATTTCAGTACTCCACTATACATTCTTTGCATTCAAAAGCAATGCTACTATAGAATAATTATTTCATCGTCCAGAGATTTAATTAAATGAACATTTTGTACTTAAAAAGAAAACATCAAAATATTAACTTTTCTTTGTCACATTTCGCCACCACACTGCAAAAGACATTCTGCTATTCAAGTAGTTCTATACTAGGGTTGCATTATTTTTTATGCCGACTGATTGATGGCGATGATTTTATTCACCACAGCGTATAACAAGGGGGGAGTTTATAGACTATGTCAACCTTCACCCATCAAAAGGAACAAGTTAACATATCTTATATACTAGTGACTAGGTATTTAATATCTGCAGTTAGAGTTACGCCACAATACTCCCTTTCCAGAATTTTATCTTTGATAGAATTCGATGAACGAATACCACTAGTCGATTTATGCTGATTATTATTTTTTTGTGCTTATTATGTGTGTATATATATATATATATTCTATTTGCCCTTTTTGTTATTGTTGGCTGGGAAAATTGTATTTACTTAACATGAATTTAGAGCGCTATTTTGTGAACAAATCAACTGTTTAACGTGGACCACTGATGAGTTCATATCATGTATGGGTCACCAATAAGGGGAGAGTCTATCCACTACATCAACATTCATCTATCAAAAGGTACCATAATCAAGTTAACATGTCTAATATACTAGTGAATTGGTGTTGAATATTTACAGTGGTAGTTATGCCACACTACAAAACGTATTTCATATACAGAATCGCCTTAACATTTTGAATGTTTAGTAACAGAAAAGCACAACACGATCCAACCGTGGTGATAGTAGACGGACAATTAACCTAAGACATGCGTATGCATGGAACTGTGACACTTTCGCTGTGGTGGTGGTCGAAGCAAACAGTACATTCTTCCCGGGCTTACCTGGTACAAAAAACAATACAACAAAAACAAAAAAGAAAGAAATATATACCTGCCTAAGCTGGCATTTTCCGTGATCTTCTTTAAAACAATCATATTTTCTTCCTACAAAGTTTGATTCCAAAGATTACTTATAACTTCAGCTTATGACACATAGATGGTGGTTACAGTTAAATTACCCTGTTTAGACCAACATAGTGTTCATACAGGCGGTTTGATGTTCAATGAAACAGATACATTATATGGGCCATGGGAAAAAGAAATATGCAGCTAAAGACGTACACTTAGATGGCACTGCTGAAGTACAAGAAAGGAAATTAATGCAATTTAAAAAGGACATAGTCTGCGATTTTTTTATTTATCTTTTTAAATAATATGAAAAGAACAGATTCACAGGATTTAAATCAGTTATTTATAAAATTAGATCAGACTTTTGAATTTTTTAAAAGATAATTTAAAAAATCGAATTCATAGTTAGTTAAAATTTTATGAATGCAATTGTAAAAATAAATCAAAACAATACATTTTAAACAATATAGCTGCATTAAAACTTGCTTTATAATAAGAGATAGAAGTGCATGAAAATACAGTCGAACTTCTATTTAACGAACTTCCCTTTTACGAATTTCTCTATTTTGTGAATTTTTTCAAGAAACCAAGAACATTTTGGAAATTTCTTTGTAAAATAACTTCCAAATAGCGAAGTGAATTTTCTATTTAACGAGCTTTTTTTTTTAGATCCACTTTACCCATTTCCGTAAAATTTCAGAATATTTTAAGCTTGTTAACGCATTTTATGGGGGAAATGCCCTTGAATTGATTTTTTTTTCTGTAATTCAAAACTCAAACAAAATTAACGGACCTTATCAGTAGCCATTAAACTTAAGAATGAATGTGGTAATGCTTGTTTAATATTACTTTAATAATTAATGCAGCGATAATTTTACACATAAATTTAGCTTATTTTAGTTTAAAATGTATGTAGCATGATAGTGTAACACCGGATAATGTTTTGCTTTATTCTTGCTTTCCATGCACATTTCTTATATTTTTAAGTTTTATAAAATAAATAGTATATAGGGTAAGCCAACCAGTGAAGGAACATTTCATATATATTGATTAAAAATAAGAATTTGAAAGTTTTTCTTTAGATTGATTGTTAACAATAGCTTACTGCCAAACAATAGGAAGTCATCTAGCAATATTTTGGATTACCTGGTCAAATAGACTTCCCAGGAAAATTTTTTGAATTTGTTATTATCTCTGCAACACTTTGTTTCGTTGAAAAAATTATAAGGTGAGTGTTTGTATTTATATGTTTGAAGGGGAATTAATTGCATGTAGTAGTCTTATTTTTCTCACTGTGAAAAAGAGAATTCAAAATATAGTTATTGAAGTTACGTTTTATTTTTTTATAAAGCACCATAGCATAATCAAGTACTGAGATAAGGGGCTGTTTATTCACTGGATCACCAAACGATGAAAAACCAGTGAAGGAACAAGTGTTCCTTTACTGGGTTTTTCTTCCAGTTAATGAAAATAAAAGAAATTTTTTAATTTTCTTGTACCTTTAGTCATATTATACATCAAAATTCTGTTTAAAAGACAAAAAACAACTTCTAACCAGTAAAGTAACAGGCATGTTCCTTCACTGGATCACCAAACGATGAAAAACCAGTGAAGGAACAAGTGTTTCTTTACTGGGTTTATTTCCCAGTTAATGAAAATAAAAGAAATTTTGTAATTTTCTTGTACCTTTAGTCATATTATACATCAAAATTCTGCTTAAAAGACAAAAAAACAACTTCTAACCAGTGAAGAAACAGGCATATTCCTTCACTGGGAATACTTCCAGTGAATGAACAGTAATGCGTGATATATGATTTTACATTACTCCAGGATAAGTAATTCTGTTATATAGAGGACAACCGAAATTTTGTTAAAAATTGTATGAACAATTCCTGAAATAATTTCAGTTCAAAAAATGTTATGTAAATAAAACGTGATTATATAATTAATAAAAACTACTTTACAATGTTAGAATTTAGAAGCAAGCTCCTCAACAAAAAACAGAGTTAAACAGAAACGATACTCAATTTCTTCAGAAGCTTGAGAGGGAAATCCCTCAAGATACGTTGCAAATTTTTAACGCAGCATTGACTGAAGAGTCTAATATCGAAAATGTCCAAGAGCCTGTATTTTTTTCAATATGAAAGAAGTACGTATTAAAAGAAGACCACTTGGTTAAATCAAACTTAGGAACTGAAGCTAGTATTGATAATGAATGCATCTTAGATATCAAATTTGAAATGAGTCCTCATGCTGATCCTCTCTTAGTTGAAAATAGAAATGATTCTATAAGTAAAATCAGTACTTCCTCTAGATGTAATCCTCTATGTATAAGTCAACAAGAGATGAATTTGCCTCAAACTTCAAGACACCTTTCCCCGTCTATTTTCAAGAACGGCATTCTAGAAATGCTGCTGAAAAATCAGAAGAAGTTTGGAAGAACTATTTACATTGGCCAAATATTGATGATAAAAAGAAAGATCAAATAAGAAGAAAAACGAATAAATTACCTTTTGCACTAACTTCAGAGAAATGGCAAAAATTTCAAGAGGCTGAAAGATCTAAAAAATGTTCAAAAAAGAGAACATGGAAAAGAAAAAGAAAGAAAAAATACTTAAAAAAGAAAAAAAGCTTCAAGAAATAAGAGGAAAAGGAGTAAACAAAAAGGTGATAAAATAATAATGATAATAAACAGCATCGGATAACACAATGATTTAGATTTGACTGTCAAATTATAAGAAAGAATGATTTTTTTTTTATTAATTTTGTATTTAACATCACTTTAATTTCTAGTTCATAATTTACAGAAAAAATTAGCATTTTACAAGTACTTGTATGTTATAATTTCACAAATAGTCTTGTTTTTATATATTTTTATGGCTAAAAAAATTCATAAAGAACATTAAAAAATAACCAAAATTAAGTGTTCCTTCACTGGGCAAATTTGTGTTCCTTCACTGGTAAGAGCTGTTCCTTCACTGGGTCTTCTTACTACTTGTTATTTGAACCTCCAAAACTTTAAAACAATATTATGTAAGTTCTCTAAAATTTGTTTGCATAGTTTCCAATTAGTAACAAATATGTTGACACTGTCATTTAACTGAAATTACGAATTTTGAAATTAATATGATATTTCAAAAGGCAAGCGAAGCTTAAGTGTTCCTTCAATGGTTAGTTTACCCTACTACTTTGCAGGATAAAGGTGTATTAATTGCTATTTTAATGATGTCTATTGTTTATGGATTTAATTTAGCGACTTCGTTAAATAGAGGTCCGACTGTACTTTGATAGGCATGATAATTCATACATGTAAATGCATGAATTGAAAATGGAATAGAAATGCATTACAATTAACTACTGAAAAACCAGTTTACAAATTAATTTACAATTATTTATTTTTTAATATTTAAATTGACAAAGTCAATAGTGTCCCTTAATACTTTTATCCTTACCTTTATTGTAGGTTAACAAATATTTCTGAATAGAATAACTTAATTAAACCATTGTGATTTTGAAGATTGTGTTTTAAAACTAGGGATTAATGATTTTCAATATCATTGCGTTTTCTTTTTTTTAATCAGTTAATATGTTTTTTTTTGTGCAATGTACTGAAAACAGATGGAAAGTTAAAAAATCATGCCTTTTTAAAAATGTTCAAACTTTTAAAATACACACTTTAGTTTCAATGGTTGTATGATAGTTCAAATATTGTGCATAAATTATCCTATAAAATATCCTAATTAAATTCTGATCAATAATTTAATTTTTTACACTCGCACATTGTTTAAGAAAAAAGATAAATTTACAAATTTTTCATAATTTGATAATAATTCATACATTGAAATCCCTAAAAAGAATTTTAAGCACGAGTTAGAGAAAAATGGAAATGGGCACTTTTACTACCCTAAACTGTTGGTTAATTTTTGTACAGCAGATTTATTTTTAATTGACATCTGTCAACAAGAATGAGTCTTTATGTTAGTCATAACAGGGTAATTTAAATTATAATTAAAGTTATTCAGTTATAATTACAATACATTTATTTTGTAGAGGTGTTTATTTGTGTCAGCAAGCGGAAAAATAAACAAAGAACAGCGACACGAAAATATCGGGCAATGAAACCATGTAAGTCAGAAGTAGGAGGATCAAGGATTGTAGTTAAGAGGATCAAGGAGGTTGCAGCTTCATTGAATCTCATCCCAATACTTCATTTCCCCGGTAATGCCCACTTTGGTAGAAATGCTTGCTGTCAACTAGTTTAAAGCATTTTTAATTGTTTTTAATAACTTGCTTTTTTAAATGTTTAATGAATCATCTTTTGGAGATTTTGCTTGTTGATAAATAGTTAATTATATGAAAGAAAGATGCTCCAGTTCACAAATGTTTTTATTGTTATCTCTCAAGCCTCACATTTACCAACATATCTTTCTCTACCTCTTAAATTTTTATTTTGCATACAGATATTATTTATAATGTCAGCTTTCTAAATTTTACAACGTATCAAGTAAAGATGAACTAATATGTAAGTATTTTTTACACTAATTTTTCTTCCAACACGCTTTACCATTTTACGAACTGCATAATTTTTCTTTATCTTTTATACTTACAAAATATCCAGGTAGTAAGGTAGGTAGATACTTTATTTACGTCACACTAGAGCTGTACAACGAGCTATTGGCGACAGTCTGGGAAACATACCCGAGGATCATCAGAAGACATGCCATTGCAATTTTGATCGTCTGCTGAGGGGATAGCCCTCCTGCTTTGGTAGCCTGATGATCACTTTACGGTAGAACAGTTTAACAAAGATCGATACCATGCACCCTCGGTCCTTATGCAGGCTGATCAAAGTGGTCACCCACCCGTTTACTGAGTGCAGTCAGTGATGCTTGAATTCGGTGTCGTGTTTTTAGGATCACTAGGTGTCGTGTTTTTAGGATCAGTCCACAGTCTTCTGATTGGCTTAAGTGAGCCATTGTAATTATGAAAATTTAGCTGAATTCCGCCCTAATGTCAGCAAGGATATGAATTTTTTGCAGCTAGATGACAAAGTTAATAATCAGCAGACTTCATTCGCCATGATGGATATAGAATTGTCAGAAAAGCAGTAAAATGGACAGAACAATATTTCGTCTAATCATTGGAGGGGTAAAAAACTTAAAAGCTATTTTAGTTTCTAGTCAGTTTTCTCGTTATATATGTATAATGAGGTGAAAAATTTAAATACCTTTGTAAAGTTCAAATCTTCATTCCTGAAAAAGTGAAGCAGAGGGGTGCCCCCAAAGAAGTTTTTGCCCCGGATCCCAATTAGGCTAAGTCAGACCCTGACTGGCCTGAAAGTATGTAGGCTCATTGCAATAATGATAATTTTTAATATGCTAGACAAATAGCCTTTCAAAATGATGGCATATACATACTTCTTTTTTTAGTTCTTTCAGCATCTGACTCAGAGACATCCCTATTTCAGTATCAGAATTATCAAGAGAGAATGCCTTCTCATAACAGAGGACTGCTTTACTATAAAGAGAATCAAACATCTTCAGAATTCTTTCAAATTTTAGTTCAAGAATTTCTCACAAGAGAAATATTTTTTTTTTAAAACTATCTTAATGGTTACATGAATAAGTTTCAGGTTATCCATGGTTATCACTCAGAACAGGAGTTTCTAGACTTTTTCAAGTTGTAGAACACTTAAGAGATTTTTTTATATTTTTATATTCGTCATTGAACAGCCAATCCAATTTTTTTGGGTTTACGACTACTGATGTTCAGCTCCGAAGCCTTGTAATTTTGAACCAATCCAGAAGCCATGGAAACTCCTGGATTAAGTATTGGAAGAAATTTGCTTTTGTGGAGGACTTAGCGGCAATCCTGTTTTATCCTTTTACTTAAATCTCCTTAGCCTCTTAAAGTAAGTTTGTACCACGCATTAAAATGTACATCACAACTATCAGCAAAAAGTTAACAAGTTTAGCAGTTATCACCATTTAAAGAAAATGACTAACATAACCAACTCCTTTCCAAAATATGTCCAGATTTAAGTTTACAAAAATAGTACTCAGAGTTAAGGGAACGGTTTATTGTAGGATCTTTACAAAAATGACCTAAAAATCTATTTGGAAACTGAAATTTAGATTTTAAAATTTTTATCTTAATCTAACAAACTGAACTTTATTATTATTATAAATTTTTTTTTTTATATCTGTCGTTGAGCAGCCGATACAATTTTGGGTTTACAACTACTAATGTTCAACTGCGTAGCCTTGTAATTTTGAACCAATCCAGAAGCCACGGAAACTCCTGAATCAGTATCCCCAAAGGTATTGATTTGTTATGGGAACATGGAGGACTTTGCAACCCCACAGATTTAACGTGCATCAGTCACCGTTTACTACACGGGGTGTCTTCGGCCGACAGAGATCAAACTCACGAACTCTTGGTCAAAATTATTTAAGCACAATTATGATTAAGGCGACCCATCCTGTCTCTTTTTTGATCCCTATAAATGCACCTTCTTTGCCCTTTCTGTAAAAATAAGCCACCAATCCTTAAAAATACTGCCTTTTTACTCATATTCCATTTTTAAGAAAATTAATTAACTGTTAAAATAATAATTATACATAAAAATTATCTGTGTTTATATGTTTCATTCTGATTACTATTACAAATAATTACTTTGTTAAGATCATTCTCAAATGATAAAATTTTTATAAGTTTCTCTTTTTTTCTCAAGGGGATAGATTAATTAATTTTTTAAGGATTTTAAAAATTATTAAATGAATACCTTTTTTCTTTTTTTTAGAGAATGCACCTTTAAATTTTCATTTTCTAATAATTTTCAGCATAAATTATAGAAAAAATCTTTTAAGCTGTTTGTCAAAATTTTTAATTCATAAATTTCTTTTGTTCAGTTAATTCTGGGTAAAAACCCAATTTTTAAAACATTATTTATAATTTTTCATTAATTTATTTCATAGTAATTGAATTAATTTCGAATGGCAAAACATAAACGTTTTTAAAGTACATAATTTAAAGTAATAAAATATTAATATTATTAACTAAATCAGTTGAATAGTTCTTGAGAAATAAAACCTTTAAATATACAGCTTTTTAAAATTTGATAACTCGGAACAATTCAGCTGATTTCGTTGAAATGTTTTGATTTGTTTGCAATTTAAATTGTTGCACTTCATGTAAAAAATAGCACCCATGGTGTAACCCTATGCTATTGTAACTGACATATAAAGATCAAATAAAAAGATTAAAATAGCTATCATCAGTGATGGGAGAGAAAACAAAATAAAATGCAAACTAAATTTAATTGCAACAAGCAATTAACATGAGGAGGAGTACAAATCAGTCAATAAATAGAGGTACAAAATTCCAATCAAAACAGTACAAAAATGCAACAAACTTAGAATAGAATTAAAAGAAAAGTAAAAAACACTTTAAAAAAAACATTAAATTTTTTATAATAGATTTCTGATAAATAATTGACTAAAAGTAGAGTCACTAATAAAATAAAAGTAACTAAACTATTCAATAAACTATCGAGCCTATTTCACTCCAATATAACCTCAAAAATCCTAAAAAGAACCCAGAATCTTTTACTACTCACAAGAAAAAATGTGAATCTATCATGAAATTGGTTCATATCAAGCATTTGAAAAAAATTATTGTGTAGAATGAAATTCGATTTATGTAACACTAGCAGCCAAAGGCGGCCAGCTGTCCGCCACGCTAAAGGTTTTCAGAAATAAAGTTTTTTAAAACATAGCAGGAAATCTGAAGATTAGTGGACAATTAAAGTGTTCCTGTCCTGCAATTTTGNAATGCAACAAACTTAGAATAGAATTAAAAGAAAAGTAAAAAACACTTTAAAAAAAACATTAAATTTTTTATAATAGATTTCTGATAAATAATTGACTAAAAGTAGAGTCATTAATAAAATAAAAGTAACTAAACTATTCAATAAACTATCGAGCCTATTTCACTCCAGTATAACCTCAAAAATCCTAAAAAGAACCCAGAATCTTTTACTACTCACAACAAGAAAAAATGTGAATCTATCATGAAATTGGTTCATATCAAGCATTTGAAAAAAAATGATTGTGTAGAATGAAATTTGATTTATGTAACATTATACAATCGTATAATCAGATTTAAAAAGTTAGTTGGAATTTTTTTTAAATTATACAGAAGTCTGTAGAATAAACAATCAAAAATCACATGGATTTATGGCAGAATTTTTTGTATAATTTTCAGCTTTCAACTTTGACGCTTGCTGGTCTGATTAAAAATTCCTAAATTTGGACTTTCCTAACTCAATACAGATTTTCAAGGTAAACGCTGAAACAAAAAGTGACAAGACCAATCAGAAATATTAAATCTAGAAACTCTAAATATTAAAATTATTTGTTTATTATTACTTCATTTTGTAAAAGATAAAAAATATAATATTAAGTATATTAAAGTATAATGGTAAGTATAATGATATACATTTTCCTTACCTTTTATCATTAAGATTGAAGTAATAATGATGACCAAGATATAAAAAGTTTTTGGCAAAATAAGGATCAGATTCAGCTGCCTAAGAAAAAGAAAAAAAAACACATAATTACTTTTTTAATAAAAACTCTATTGTTGTTAAATAAGACTATAATTGATCTTTAATAATATTGAAATTTGGATGTTTATTAAGCACATAAAAGAAACTTTTCATTAAAATCAAATTTTTTCTTAAAGGCAATATTCTCTAAAAACGTAAAGGGGATTGTTAAGAACCAAAGACTGAAAAAATTAATGATGCACAACAAATATTAAAGAGACAACTTTCCTCTCAACTGAACTCAATGGCTAAAGAGAAGTAAGTAGAGAGGGAAGATTCCAAATTTGCTTTTAGTCAGAGCACAAAATTAACGGTGGACCTTAAGTTTGAGACGACTAAAATTTGACTCAAACCACCATATATATATATAAATAAAAAAATTATCAATGATCCTCCGGATCGGCAATCAATGCTGTTTTTTTTTTTTTTTTGTTATCTTGTGTCTTAATCTCCATTTTCGTTACAAAGTAGCATATTTCATCATAATTCTGGCATTATTTATAGTAATTTTTCATACAAATTGACTTAAATTTTTTTTTTTAAAAAGTAGTATAGCGACATGCAAATTGACTAGAGAAAATGCGTACCGATTAGTAATACCTTTCAGCAACTGGTCTGGGGACAAGTGATTATATTTTCACAAATAAACAAAGACTGAATATTTTTTCTATTTCTGCATTGTCTTCCAAAATACAAGATTTTCATACGATCAGATTTAAGGCAGTTAAATTTTATACATTCACTTACTTTTAGATTTTTGATATGTATCTAAGTCGCTCCTAAGTGTAATCTAAGCTAAGAATTTTTCAGTGTTATCCAAATCAGCCAAATCAGTTTGATTAATAAAGTTAAATTTATTAAAAATCTTAAAGATGACAAATATTAAATATTATATTACCTATTCAAAATTACTCACAACTTAATTTCATTGCTTCAATATTTTTAGAAAAGTTCAATAGAAGTTCTAAAAATTATCAAACACTATTTCTCCTAATAAAATAAAGTGATTCAGTCGAAAGTTCCGATATGGATTGTAGGGACTTTGACAAGTCAGGAAAATAGATTTTCCTGAATAGATTNTCCGCTTTTATTACAAAGTAGCATATTTCATCATAATTCTGACATTATTCATAGTAATTTTTCATACAAATGGACATATTTTTTTTTTTTATAAAAGTAGTATAGCGACATGCAAATTGACTAGAGAAAATGTGTACCGATTAGTAATACCTTTCAGCAACTGGTCTGGGGACAGGTGATTATATTTTCACAAATAAACAAAGACTGAATATTTTTTCTATTCCGCATTGTCTTCCATTGTCATTAAAGATTTTCATCCGATCAGATTTAAGGCAGTTAAATTTTATACATTTACTTATTTTTAGATTTTTGATATGTATCTAAGTCGTTCCTAAGTATAATCTAAGCTAAGAATTTTTCAGTGTTATCCAAATCAGTTTGATTAATAAAGTTAAATTTATTAAAAATCTTAAAGATGACAAATATGAAATATTATATTACCTATTCAAAATTACTCACAACTTAATTTCATTGCTTCAATATTTTTAGGAAAGTTCAATAGAAGTTCTAAAAATTATCAAATACTATTTCTCCTAATAAAATAAAGTGATACAGAGGAAAGTTCCGATATGGATTGTAGGGACTTTGACAAGTCCGGAAAATAGATTCTCCTGAATAGGTTTTTCATTTTACTAACTGTAAACTGTATAGAAAGCATTTTACTTTCCTAGGTTTTCGCCACAGAAAAAAAAATGGGGGAAAATTTCTCTCCCTTTCAAAAAACAGAGTAAGATTTCTTAAATAAAAAAAAAAGAGAGATTTCTAAGACTTATTAGAGAGAACATGTATAGGCTTTAAAAAATTTATTTCCTTAGTTATTATACAATTACAAGAATTCTTAATATCTCTTATTTTTAATATTTCTGCATCATCAATTGACATGAAATATTCTAAGTCAACTTTCATCAGGTTGTTTTTACTTGTTTTATCTAATTTAAAATAAAAACTATAGAAGCATACTCGGGTATAAAGATTGGTAAAAATTTAAATTAAAGTGAAAGCAAGCTATATTAATTGCATTCATATTTACCCACTTAGCCAAAGCACTTCCTTTTTTTAGAAATGTGTAATCAGAACACAATTTTTTTTAAAATTAGTAATCCTGTTTCTGAACTGTTGTTTAAAATGCAATTAATTGATTAAAAACTAATCAGGGTGTTCACTTTTTGGACACATTACATATTTTAAAGAAATATATATATATATATTAAAAAAAAACAGACAAAATTAAAAATTACTTTCATGAAAACTTTAAAAGCTTTCTCTCCCTGCTTGGTTTCCCAAAGAACAACACCAATTAAATGCAAAGTGAATGAAGATTCTTGAAGTGATACCGAAAGGCGAAATCTAAAGCAGAAAATAATAGTTAGACACTTTTCAGTTGATGAAATGATACTAAATTTAAATTGTTGTATTATTTAATACATAGATATCATAATAAATAATTATACAAAAATATATGGCCACTTGAAATATCTTTTCTTGCATCGACAACAAAAAGATGAAACAGAGTTCTAAGTTCAGCAGAAATGAAAAATTAAAATTGAACTGTTGAAATAAATAGGAATAAATTGAAATTTTGTCATTATTTCTGCTGCAGATGAATGAAAAATAGCAATTCAATGTGAATAAAGCACAAATATATATTTTAATTCTGTACCTTTATTTGTGCTTTATTCACATTGTTTTGCTAATTTTTATCCAAGCAAACTAGGTCATATTTTAATTTTTAATTATGTTTATAAAAACATTACATAATAATTTTAGTTTTAATGCATCTTAATAACTTACATAGTAGGAAAAGTTATTTTACTGAAACTACAAACGAACAGAAAGAAATTCAGTTATGTGTAGATTTCACTAGGATGTGATTTTTTAATTCCGTCTCTCAACTGTAAAATTTACAATGGCATACGTAGGGAAATTTGTATATATTAAGAATAGTTCGTTTTTCGCTTATTTATAAGTGATTCTGCTTAAGAGCTATAGAGTTTCATANTTTAGTTTTAATGCATCTTAATAACTTACATAGTAGGAAAAGTTATTTTACTGAAACTGCAAACGAACAGAAAGAAATTCAGTTATGTGTAGATTTTACTGGGATGTGATTTTTTAATTCCGTCTCTCAACTGTAAAATTTACAATGGTTCGAAGAATAGTTCGTTTTTCGCTTATTTATAAGTGATTCTGCTTAAGAGCTATAGAGTTCCATATATACTAAGAATAATTTATGTTGCCTCACCAGCATGTGTACAAAAAAATAGTACTCCAAAAAAAATGGATGGAATAGTAGGAAAAAAAAATGAATTCTTTGATAAATTATTATCATTGAATCAATTACATATTGCATATTTTTTCTTATCGTAAAATATTTATTTTTTTCTGTTTTACTGCTTATCTATTCAACCTAAATTTTTGATTTTAATCTTGAACATTACCTATCATTTTCACCTACTTTGCATCATGTTTTTTTTCTTCTTCATTTTCTAACTTTTTTTTTTTTTTAAATTTTTATGCATGTTACAAGTTTTTGTAAGATTAAACTATTGTATCTCCAAACACTAAAATTAAGAATTGTGAATTATAAGTAGAAGACTTTTAGAACTTCAAAGTTAGAAAGAGTACCAGAACCAGGAATGAGAGTAGTCAGAAAGTAAAAAAGAGGAAATCCAAGAATGAAAGAATATATATATATATATATATATATATATACACACACAAAAATTTGACGAAAAAAGTGCGATTTTAGCCATGTGATTATAAATCCCGATGATTAATTTTAAAATTGTATGAATATGAAACTCTATATCGAATTTTAAAAAATGCGAAAATGCAAATCATGATGCGTAATTTTTAGATCACGTAAATACGAATCACAGTGCATAATTTTTGAATCGCGTGAATACAAATCACAATGTCTAATTTTTAAAGCACGTATAATTACGAAAATCGACGTTTGATATTGCAACCGCAATAGCGAATCACGACATTGGATTTTAAGCTCACGTGAATACGAATCGTATTCACGTGAGCTTAAAATCCAATGTCGTGATAAATACAAAACGCGATATTGGATTTTCAAATCTCGTAAATAAGAATCATAATGCACGTTGTTTAAATAGAGTAAATAAGGATCGCAATGCGAAACTTTTAAATCAGGTAAATACGAAAATCGATGATTGATATTAAAATCGCGTGAATAACAATCGAGAAATTTGCAGAGTCTGGACTTGGGATTTCTAAAAGACTTGTTAGTATTGTTTTTGTTTAGACGTAATAAATAGAAATTTTCAAGATTAATTGAATGAGCAAATAAATATTTTCACTGCAAATCCACGTTTATATATATATATTTGTTTCGTTTGCTTTTACGCCAGACAACAGGGTCACGACGTCTGAATTGCGAAAATACGAGCTATCCGGCGGACGAATAAAAATACGGAAAATCTTGTTTTTTGTGTGTAAAAGAGGCATGTTAGCAGCTAGGACATAGTTTGAATTTTCTGTTTATCTTTGAAAATCGTAAATAAATATAATTATTTTATTTCGAAGACTGAATTTTCAACAAAAAAAAAAGTCCTCATAAAATATTTTAACTTGTTCAAAAAACAATTTCCGCGGAAATTAGCGGGAAAAATGGAAAAATCTGACAAAAAGCGGAAATCCGCGAATCCTTGGAAGAATCACATCCCTGCAGAACTCATACAAAGCTAAACAAAAATAGAACACTGTCCAATCAGCCAAGAGAAGGAGGTCAGATTGCAGGGTTGCCACTCAAATCTGGAAAAAAAATTCCTGCGTTTTCCCGTACATATTATGCACAATATATTAAGAGAAAACAACAATTACTGTGCTCTTGTGTGAGCGATTGTAGGGTTAACTATATTTATTANCTAACTTTTTTTTTTTTTTTTTTTTAAATTTTTATGCATGTTACAAGTTTTTGTAAGATTAAACTGCTGTATCTCCAAACACTAAAATTAAGAATTGTGAATTATAAGTAGAAGACTTTTAGAACTTTAAAGTTAGAAAGAGTACCAGAACTCATACAAAGCTAAACAAAAATAGAACACTGTCCAATCAGCCAAAAGAAGGAGGTCAGATTGCAGGGTTGCCACTCAAATCTGAAGAAAAAAAATCTCCTGCGTTTTCCCGTACATATTATGCACAATATATTAAGAGAAAACAACAATTACTGTGCTCTTGTATGAGCTATTGTAGGGCTAACTATATTTATTAGTTTTAATTGCTGAACATGCTTAAATAATGGAAAAACAGCTGAACATACTTAAATAATGCTATAGTAAATGAAATAGTTTAGTATAACTGTAATATCATGGTTAAACATCCCATTGATTACGCTTTGAGTGGTAACCATTTTTTAAAAGACAAAAATAAGAAACAAAATTCCCTGTATTTTCTAGGTTTTCCCTGCGGAGTGGCAACCAACCAGAAAAAAACTTTGAAAGCAGAGTTGCAAACACAGCCAGATGGTACACTGGTAAGTTTAAATGAAAGTAGAACTTCAGTAATACAACATTCACTCACAAACTCTTTAAGGACATGCCTTTGGATGAATGTTTCATTTTTTATGCAACCCATGAATCAATTGAATCAGTTAAAGGTAAAAAGCTACTATTCGGCAACAACCATTATCAGAAACAAGTTCTATGAAATTCTTATTTACCTATTATTACAAGTTCTTATTTACTATTATTTCTACTCATTAATAATAACCATTTAACTAAAACCTGAAGTAGAAAAACCTCAAAGAAAAATCTTAACGAAAAAAACTGAAGGAAAATAAGGAGGAAGTAGATACGAAAATTATAGTTTCAGTCTGAAATTCTTGCTTAGAAAATACCACTTCTAGTGAATGTTATTGAAGCGGCTTCCAGCAAAAGTAAATTAAACGGAGGAATACAAAGGTGTTGCGTTAGAACTGTTTACTTTAGTCATTTAATTTTCTGATTTGGATGTATTTTGCATTTTAACTAAATAACATATTAGTAACGTGTTTTTGTCTCTCCATCCTGGAACTTCCGAGATTTGGATATATTTTCAATCATCACTGAATTATTTGTTTAGAAATACTTTTTTAACTTTTCTTTTTTTCTTTAGCAATGTGGACGCATTTCGCATCTTAATTAAATTATTAAATTACATTCAGGTATTTCTTTCATTTCATTTTTGCATTTCTGTGATTTGAAAACATTTTGCACTTTAACTAAATTATTTAATCGCTTAGAGCTATTTTCCCCCCTCTTCAATTTGAATGTATTTCGCATAGTAACTAAATTATTAGTTAAGACTTTCTTTTTTTTTTATTTTACCTGATTTCGCAGTTTAACGATTTGGGTACAATTTGCATGTCGACTGGATTATTAGTTTAGAACAAGTTTCTTTTGTCTGCTTAATTTATAGACTTTAATGATCTGGATATATTTTCACACTGAGGATGCTGATGCAAAAAGGTTTAATAGAATAAGTACAAATTATAATTTAGAAACAAGAATAGCATTAAAAAATTATTATGCATTGATTACACATTTTCAAAAAAGAATAATTGGAAATATTTGCAGCGCTGAGTAGGTAAATGTAGATGCAATTAATGTAGCATGCTTTCACCTTAATTTAAATAAAACTTTATTAGTTCCGAGTGTGAATAAATAATTTTTATTTCAAATTAAATAAATAAAAACAACCAGATGAAAAAATAGACATAGAATATTTCCTTGTGATGATGGGGCAAAAATATTTAATGAATTAAAATATAGGAGATATTAATAATGTTTATAATTGTATAATAATTAAAGAAATAAAATTTTTTAAAGCCTATTCATGTTCTTTTTTAATTTTTAGAAATCTCACTCTATTTTTGGAAAAGGGTGGAAAATTCTTCCTAATTATGTTTCTGTAGGAAAACCTTGAGATGTGACTTTGCATATAACAAAATTAGACAACTACAGTAAAAATCAAAGCAAAAAATTAGGAAGGGGTTGCAATTTTCTAATGTAAGCATAGAAGTTTTGTGTAGGAGAGATAGCTTAAGTTTAATCAGTGATTGGCTTTTTTTGGTTGACAAGGGGGGAGGGGTCCAAAACAAAAAACATTCTTAAGTAATTTCTGAAGCACCCCCTCAAAGTGAAATACAACGGAATACGAGAAAATTAAAAATATTTCACAAGAAAATACTTCTTTCAAAACAGGTTGAAGCAATATATTTATTTAATGCTCACAAATAACAGTTTTGAATTAAGTGATAAACAATGAAAGAAAAATAGACATTAGATTGAATGGGACGATGCAAAGAAGAAAGGACGACAAGCGAACAAAAAATAAAGAAAAAATAGGGGAGAAAGGGGGACATAAAATAACTGTTATTGAAGAAAAAAAAATTATTTAAGTGATTTTATTTTTAACTTGACATCTCTTCTCATTTTTCCATTCTCTTTCTTTCTTTTTCTCTAAGCTTAATTTTTCACCTTTTTACTCTTATTGTCATTTTTTTAACTACCTGAAAGAGGAAAGATGCACAGTTGTATTCCTTGTAAATATGTTGTTTGAAGAAAGAACATATAAATATTCCATTATTTCTTTTCCCATTAATCTCCCCGCTCCATTTAGAAAGAAAAACATTTGATTTCAACAATAATAAAGATTGAATAACAAAAATTAAAATCTAGACGAAATTCAAAATAAAGTTTTATGTATATAAAAAAAAACCATACATTAAAGTATTAGAGAGAACTGGATACCTTTGTAACGCTTGAATCAAATCTTTTTTTAAAAGTAAAGAATAACCTTCAAGCTGTAGAATTTCAGGATCTTCAGGATATTTTTCTTTTAAATCATGCAAAATCTGTTAAAAAATAATGAATAACTATAAGAGATATTTGAATTTTCAACCATGCATCAACAGTGCTTTTTTGTTATGCAACTCCAAGCTTAACCCTTTATGAGGCTGTGGCACACATACTTCCCAACAACTTTGTTAATTTCTAAAATGTGGATTTAAAGTTATTTTTCCACCAATGATTTGTGCAGCCATCTGCGGATAACTTCAGAAAAGACAAAGTAAATAAATAAATTATGAAAGACTTAGTTTACATAAAAGTGTTAAACGGTAAAATTTAATACAAGGTCAAAAAGATACACCGGGGATTCCTTTATAAATTATGTGTTCATATTTTTGATCATTTCTTATTGAGTTTATATGTAGTATAAACATAGAAATCATAAATTTGGTAATTTATAAGTACAGACTGAATTCTTCACATTAAGCCAAAATATTTTTTCAACTGCTGCTGTGTAGCAGGTATAATTAGTGTTGGATTTAATACAAGAAATTAATTAGATAAGAAAAATATTTAAAAACAAATAAAATTTTAGAAATATTTATAAATTGATAATTTTTCTTTTCTTATGAGCCCAGTAAAAAATCATTTATGCATTTTTTGTTGCTAAGTCAGTTATTTTACACGTAAAGAATGTGTTGAAAAATAAAACTCAATTAGTACAAGTAAAATGAAAGTTTCACATATTAACTATTTTTAAATAATGATCATTTTAATATTATTTATTCTATTTAAATACAAAATATTAAAATCTATAAAACCAATAATAAAAATTTATTTTTAAATGCGAATTATGTTATTTTAACTTCCCTCAATAAATATTTACACTTATTGCTAGATAATTATGAGTGCTTATATTTCGCTTACTGCATATTCTGTATTAAAAATAATACATACTTAATAATTACACACAAATAGAGATTTAACAGAGACTTACAAATAACTTAACAAATACACAATAGAGACTTACAGTTATAATTCTGATTACTATTACATTGCTTTCATTTTATATACAAGCTTATTTATATTCAGCTTCTCTTTGAAATTTTATAAATATATTCCATTAATTTTACCACTTTATTTATATCATTATAAAATTCTTTTCACCTGTATAAAAATGTAATTTGCAGCATGCGATAGAGTAATACAACATTCACTCACAAAC